CCTTTGGAAAATGCAGTTAACAGCAAGGCACGACGCAAGGAGCTATACAGCAATCCTCATCTGCAGTTCCCCCTCCCTCCCTCTTTCAAAACTCCCAGCTCACTCATTATTTATAATAAACTACCTCTGCTAGTAGTAAAGGAAAATACTTTTAAAATGTCTAATGAAAGCCAGCCCCGTGGGGCAGTGTAAATCTGGATGGAATTTTCTGCCATCAAGGAAATTAGCACATGATTAGCGACCAGGGCAGAGTCGGGTCTTGAACGTTTTGGACACGGCTTCTATTAATAGGAAGGATTCAGTTCCCCTCCTCTCCCGTGGTACAAGTGGCAGAAAGTGGGCTGCCTCGCAGGTTGTTAAAAATGGCAATTATAAAGCACTTAATTGCCGCTGGAAGCCAATTAAACCGAGCGCACCACAGTTTTCGACTGTTTAGGGCGTGAGGGCATTTAGTCACGATCACGGTCGGTGGTTCGAAGAGTCCCGAGAATTCAGTGCTGGCACCACCTGGAGTTAATCGTCTCGATCCCGGTCCGGAACTGACTTCGTTGTGAAATCGTTGCTGTTTTCCCAAATCCGACGCTCTGTGCGCCCCCGTTCGAGTCCGTGGGTGCGTTTCGAAATGTTCTGCTTAAGCTCCTGACGTGCAACTTTTCAGACCGCACCGAGCAGAGCTTTTCCGTTCAAAAAAAAGAAACAATTCTCGCGCGCGAGCCCTCCTGTACGCGATGTCATTTTGCACCCCATTTTACACTGGAATAAGGCCCTTTTGTATTGCACAGTTGCGACCCGGTGGGTGGCAAAGGAAAGTGGCTCTCGCCGGGTGCGTATTATCGAACGTTACCACCACCACAACGACGACTCAGGGTCGTGTTTCAGAGCGCTAACGGTGGCGGAGCCTGTCTCCGAGCTGGGGAGGGGGCGGCTGGGGTGGGAGGGTGGGGGGGGGGGGGGGTCGGAGAGAGGTGGCCGTAAGCACGGTCGAAGAGGGAGGTTTTCAGGCTTGACTTGAAAGACGGCAGCGAGGGTTCAAGGCGGGAGGGATTGAGGGAGAGCGTGCCAGAGTTTCGGGGCGTGGTGGCTGAAAAATGTACATTCTGAACCATTACACTGTGCAACACACTGTATCGCATTCCCTGCATACATTATGGAATCCATATCCCTTTAAATGCTGATTAAATTGACAAGAGTGTAGCAGTGTTTCAGAGACGGTGCGTAAATTCAGCTATGCGAATAGCCGGGCCAAACATCTGACAAGGCAGACAGATGTAAGACACGTGGTGAGCTGATCGGCATTTGGCACACAGGGAGACTCTTTTTTTTCAAAATTCTCTTTAACATGCATGGAAACTCGTCTCTCACAGATGTGACTTCACATTTGCATCGCTGTGTAAATCTTAACCGGTGCTGGATGATGAACAAACAGCAGGCAGCTCGCTGTCTGTGGGTCAGCTGCTGTTTTTATTAGACCTTTGCTGCGACAAGAGCTTGGTTTTTCAGCGACGCGATTGTGGGAGACGCTGTGAAAGTGCTGCCGTGCTCTGGGAACTAGACTTGGAGCCACACTGGCCGGACGCTTGACTAATAATAAATAATAATCCTCGCAGCCCCTCATCACGTCTTCGAGACGCCTCGAAAGTTTCTGAACCTCCCAGATCTTGAATTTCTGGGAAGATAAAAGACGCCGTTTCTGAGCGCTCCGGGACACTACCTCACGCGAACGGCGCTCTTTAACCGCTAGTAACTACTAGCTTGCTGTTGTTGTTTCTCGCTGCGCAAAACACTTACGGTGTGCATTCGGTCGGCTTGCACGAGGCTTTGATTCCAAAACGTCTCGCGAAAGCGCTGTTGGGAAAGTGTGAGTTGCAGCCAGAGATTCTGGAGTTATTACTGTTGAACTTTGGCCCATTTCACTTCTCCCTTTAAGTTGGGGGTCTGCTTGTAATTGAATCGCAATGGCGAACAGCTTTAAAGAGCTGCGCAGTTAGCAGCCCTGATACGCTGGTGGAACGCTGCCAAAGCAATCATTGGAGATTTCGAGCCCAACCCTCCTCCTGAAAACGTGTTCGACAAAGGACTCCTCGAAGCTGCCATAATTCTCCCCGAAAATATCTGACGTCACTTCTGTCGCAAAGTGATGTTATTATTATTAATGATAATAATCCTTGCATTCGATACGGCGCCTTACGCTGTCGTCGAGGCGTCTCAAAGCGCTTCACGGAATAATACTGCAAAGCGAATAGGCTGCGTATTTTGGGGGCGAAACGCGGCAGCCACTTGCGCACAGCAGCGTCCCCACAACCGGCCGCGCATTGGAGCGACCAAATGATTATTATTTTTTTTGAAGGCGTTATTACCCCTGGAAAGGCATTCCGAGGGTAATAATCACGTTAGCAGCACTTAACAATCGTATTAGCAGTCATGGTGGGAAGGCAGAGAAAAAGGACCTCGTTTTGAGAGGAAAGAGGATTTGAAATCACAAACGGCCTCCTTTCTCCCCATCTTGTCTCCATTTCACTCACAAATACAGTCATTGCATTTTTACGGTAACATCCTGTGAAGCGCATTGAGATGTCCTCCTGATATGAAAGGCACGAAGGCAGATGCAAAGATTTTTTTTTTAACCTGTCCTTCACTACAGTTAATTTTAAGATGGCAATGCTGGATGTTCTCCCAGCATCTTCTGATCTCTCTCTCTCTCTCTCTCTCTCACTCACTCTTTCTCTTTCTCTTTCTCTTTCCCTCTCTCCCATTCTCATGTAAGTGGGTACGTGTTCACCAGCGAGCCCGGCACCTCAGTTTGGCTGCCATTACCTTAATTGCCGAGCTTATTAAAAGGAAACGGGCAACGAGATGAACAATGGGGAAAAGCCTGGAATAGAAGCAGTTCTGTCACACGTCTTAACCTTTGACCGCGGATGCCGTACACCAGCTGTCAAACGCGATCCTGCGTGTGATTCAGCGCACACAAGCACTGCGCTGGAGATTCACTTGAGAAACACTAAGTGAATGGCCACAATGTTAAGCGAAGGTTATTCTTTCTGCCAAACCGGAAATTTGAGAAATATTCCCATCAATGGCCTTAACGCGGAATGTGTGTGTGTGCGTGTGTGTGTGTGTGGTTGTGTGTGTGTGTGTGTGTGTCTTTGTGTGTGTCTGTGTGTGTAGTTGTGTGTGTGTGTGTGTATGTACGTGTGTGTGTGTGTGTGGAATGCCCACAGTCTTCCCCGCCTCATCCAATCTACAAACTGTGTGCGCACGCACGCGTGTGCGTGTGTGTGTGTGTGTGTGTGAAGTGGTCATGCTCACATGTTCCCTTGTCCACTTCCATGAGAACATGAGAGAGGGAAACAGAAAGAGTGTGTGTGTGTGGGTGTGCGCGAGAGGTGTGTTGGGGGGGTGGGGAAAGGAGGCAAAGGATTGTTTAAAGGGTCATATGAGCCCCTTTACTAACGCTCTGATGCTCAAATCACTTTGCAGAAAGGAAGCAGGGGGCGCGGGGGAGGAAACTGTTGTGTAGAATTGTTTGGTACAATCTGCCTGTGCTTTTGGAGAGGGAGCAGAAAATGGGGACCATTTTTATCGAGGTGATGGCACATATCGTTGAGAAACAGACGTGTTGCACCCTGAATGTCCTGTGAGTTTTTTTCTTAAAAGAAAGAGTCAAATAATAATCCTTGCACTGGATAGACTGTGAGGAGGTGGCATTGCCATGGGTACGGGGCATGTTTTCTCCCAGATGTTGTGTCAGTCAGATCGTTCTTTGAAAAGTACAGCATTTATTATCCTAACTTCGATTTGCAGTTTCTCCTGATGTTCGATTGCACGGGTACTGCTGGACGTCCGCTTGTAACATGGTGTGTGTGTGTGTGTGCATGTGTTTGTGTGTGTGATTGGGTGTGTATACGACAATCATACGTGTCCCCACACAGGGACGTTTGCCATCAGTGGAAATCTACGGCTGAGTTTTTACCTCCTCCGTAATTCAGGCCAAACCTAACAAGCCTGAATTGATACCTAAACTGAGATAGATTGACTCCATTTTCCTGGTCTGAATGGCAGTTTGTGAAGTCCTATTGTCACCATCGGTGGTCGTGCTTTCAGCCACTGTGCCCCGCAACTCTGGAACACTCTCCCTCTATCTCCTCCGCCTTTGCCCCTTCCTTCCCCATCTTCAGGTCGTGCCTGAAGACTTTCCTCTTCAACCGTGCCTATGGTCACCTTCCCTCCTCCCCTCCTCACCTCCGTTACCGCCAGTGTTTCAGGCGCTCTGGGACGCTACCCCGAGTGAGGGGGCGCTGTACAAATGCAAGTTGTTGTTGCTGTTGTTATCATCCGAGCCATGGAAGATTTTCCTGGGTGGGGTTTGGAATCCTGTAGGTGCAACACACACAAACATTGCGTAGCCACAGAGAATCAATCCCCAGGAGAAGGCAGGTCAGATGAGGATGGTTGGTATGGCTGAGTTGTCAGCTTTAACGCTGAGAAATGATTGATTACCCATTGATGGCGAATTAAATTGACTTGAAATTCACAGGAAAGGGCCAGATGGTGCAGAGCCTTTGATTCACCCATGGGAGCTGGGGTCGAATCCAAACTAGGTTGATGGCACTCTTAAGATCAGGAGATCCCAATTAGCGACACAGATTGTATTTAATATAGCGCCTCATCACGTCGTTGAGACATCTCAAAGCGCTTCACAGGATGTATTGCACAGTGAATTTTAACTCTATGTTTGCGGCCACCGATGGTGGAACGGAGGGTTCGAGGGACAAGCAGGAGGTCGGTGGCAGCGGGTAGTGGGTTGGGGAGTGAGCAGGTTGGGAAAGGTAAGGAGGTGCCAGGGAGTGAGATGGTTCACCTCGACGAGCAGAAACAAAAGCACCATGGAGAGAGAAGAGGAGATGATTCTTCTGGTCTCATTGGCCCAAATGACTCATCTTTAGTCACTGTGCGCACACAACAACTTAACAAAAAACTTTTTCCCGTTCTCTTTGCAGAAATCCGTGCCCAGTTGACAGAGCAGCTGAAATGCCTGGAGCAACAATCCGAATCCCGTCTTCAGCTCCTTCAGGATCTGCAGGAATTCTTTCGCAGGAAGGCGGAAATTGAGGTGGAATACTCTCGAAGCCTGGACAAGCTGGCAGAGAGGTTCTCTGCCAAAATCCGCAGCTCCAAAGAGCACCAGCAATTCAGGTACGTCAGAGAATCGGAATTTCCTAAACAATTGGTGCTTTCCATCTGCTTTCACAGCCAATGTAATGATAATCAAGTAATAATACTTGCATTTGATACAGCGCTTTTCACGTCTTCTGGACGTCTCAAAGCGCTTCAATACAGTTAGGTTTATGACCATGATACCAGGACTGGGTTGTACTGCCATCAAGGTAGACTGGACAGGTTCAGAACATGAGATCGTAAGAATTTGCTTGGCCAAATTGGAGTAAAGTCCTCTCGCTTGCAAGGCGAGTGTTCTGACCACTTAAGCTACAGGACTCCACCAATAACAGATGGCGTTCTTGCATTATCATTTTGATAAGATGGTTGACACGGGAAGAATTCTTCTTTTTCCGAGGCAAGGTGGAAGAGAGCTTTACTCTGATTACGCTGTTCCTGCCTTGGCAGCTCTTGGAGCTCATGTGAAGATAATCTGCAGTTCATTCCTTCACCTGATTCATCCCAAAATTACCGAGAGAGAGAAAAAAAAAGTTGTTTCAGTATTCTTGCCAAGTGTGCAAGGTTCATCCGAAGCTTATCAGTCGAGAACGAAAGAGATTATTTGCATAAAAGGAACAGAAAAGTAACCTTTCGCCACCCTGAGGCTCTTTGCTAAGCCTTAAAGTGGGATTGTTACCTTTCTCACTGGAAACTTTCCCAAATATAAAACTGTGGTTAAGCTTAAAGTTCAACCTGCATCTCCTTTCACACCGAGTTTATATGAAAGTAATAATTATAATAACCCTTGCATTTAATATAGAGCCTTATCGCATCGTCACAGTGTCTCAAAGCACTTCACAGGATATACTGTAAAGTGAATTGACTGTATATTTTGTCGGTAAAACGCGGCGGCCAATTACTTGCAGCAGTGTCCCACCAAACAGTCGTGGAACGAGTGACCATAGATAAGAGGCGTTGTTCCTTTCTGGTCCTGAGGTGGGTTTCCATTCTGTCTCCTGAGGCTAAGTCACACAAGAAAACACAAGAGTACCTCTGGCTACTGTGCTCTTTTAGCCCAGAATGGACTGAGCTTCCAGCCTACTCCTCCAGACCCGCATTAGATCGTCAACAGGTCAAGCAAGTCAGTCTCCGGCCAGGGTCTGAACACCCCAATTACACATTGAAACAGTCTTTGCAATGTTGCCACCAAGCTCACATGTATATTCCCTCTCATCAAGAATCTAGCTGACATTATACCTCCAGCGATATCTTATTTATACCCTAAGAACATAGAATTGGCCAGGCCAAAGAAGACCCAGGTCCATCTAGTTCGCCTCCCACCATCCTGGCAGCCGCTTGACATGTAATTTTCCCAAATTATATACTGTATTGTATCTCGAGATATTATTTTCAAGCAGAAATCTATCTCATTTGTCCTTGAAACAAACAATATTTTCTGCTTCCACCGTCTTGTCTCCCAAGGGAGCCTGTTCCATATGTTTATTACTCGCTCACCGAAGTCGTGTTTTTTTCCAAGTAGCCGCGGAGTTATCATATCATAGAATGATAGAATTATACAGCACAGAAGGAGGCCATTCGGCCCATTTTAAAAGAGCTTCCAAATCAATCCCACTCCCCCGCTCTCTCCCCATAGCCCTGCAAACTTGTGCATGTAAACAGGGCCATCCTGTTGCACTTTGCCGTTTCTCTGAAAGGCCACGGTTTATAAATAACCCGGGCTTTAATTAGCTTTAAGAACAGCTCACGCAGGAAGTCAAAGGCCGTAATTCAGAGAAATTAGTTTGATGGTGATGGTTGGAGCTGTAATAATGTGTCTGCTCTTCTGAAGAGCTCTGTAATTCTGCAAGTGGCTTTATCCTGCTCGTACATACGCAGTGCAGCAGACTAAATCCCCCAAGGGTCTGGAATAAATTAAGTATCTCCAGCTCTTAACTTCACGTGGTTTTGTGCACATAAACAGAGGGAGAGAAGGCCGGTTGGTGGAAGGCTGCCAGAGCCAATGGAAGTGAGAGAGAGAGAGAGAGAGAGAGAGGGTTTAATTGGCCACAGCTGTGTGTGTTGGAGTGATCTATAGTTGTTTGATGGAGAGAATATTTGGAGCGCGGCAGAGGCTGTGCACAGCAGTACAGAGTGTGTGAATTGTTCACCAAATGCCAGAGATGGTTCGTGTGGGTGAGGCTGTGGGGAAGGGACTATTCCTGCTATCTTCAATCACAATCACTGATTAATGTCGACTGTGGCTCAGGGCCCTGGCCAGAGACGATGTCGACAACACCACCTTATATTGGTTTATATAAGCCAACTTATTGATATCATTCGGTATCTGATTTTATCAAAAGAAAAACACTCAGCTTAAATTCATTTATTCTCCCCGGAGGGAGCGGGGGAGCAAACGGAAAACATGGAACCATTCGGCCTTAAACGTATCTTCTGGCAGTGTTTCATTATCTCACCAAGTGGCTGTTCACAGCATCACAGGAGAGGGGTTTAGATGAAGAAGGCCCTTTAGCCCATTTGATCTCATCAAGCGCTCTGGGACCCTACTCTGCGTGAGGGGAGCTATATAAATGCATGTTGCTGTTGTCGTTGCTGTCATCCTTCCAGAATACCCAACCTACCATCCTCCCACCATCATCAAGTTGTTTTTTGATTAAGTATCTTAACCTCAACCACCCTTCCTGGCAACTTGTCCCAGTCGTTAATTGGATGCTGATCCATTTAAATTTTCGAGACTGAGGTGGATAGATATTTGGTAGGTCAGGGTATCAAGGGATATAGAGGGCAAAGGCAGGTAATTGGTTGAGGTACAGATCAGCCATGATCCTATAGAATGGCGGAACAGGTTTGAGGGGCTGAATGGCCCCTAAATAGCGAGCAGGAGCAGGAACAGTAGCTGTTGTATGTTCTTCTCTGGTCTGGATACATTACGTTCGCCTTTCTGAGATGGTACCTTCCGGGGCGTAGTATCGAAGGGTTGTTCTGCCGTGGTCCTTGCATCTATCTCAGCAACTGCCGGGTTCCTTACAGGTCTCCCGGCCTCTGTCCAGGTCTTTAAAGCTCTCCCAACCTCTGCACTGATCCTTACACCTAACCTTGCTTCAGCGACCTTGGCTGCCCGGAAAATAAAATCACCTGTTACGTAACCTTGCTGAAGCGTAACGGTGAGTTGAGGGTCCAGACTACTGGAAGATGAAAGAATTGAAAATAAAATGTTTAGTGCACCAACTGATGGTTCTTCATCATAGCATTCTGAGGGCTTGTGACATTGACCTGGTCTGCCACGTGGAACCAATGCATTCCGAACGTGCGGAAAGGTAGACAGCCTGGGAAGTGACAGACTCCCTGAAGTTGCACTGCATGATATGGAGATGTTTGTCATTCATAGCCACACTGCATCAAGTCAAGGGCAGCACACCTCACTCGCCAGAGCCACAGAAGATAATCTGAATGCTGAAAGGGAGCAGGCAAGGTTAAATTGCCTGCATGTTTCACAAAGCACAAAGATTTATTTTCAGCAGGTCTGATGCTGTGTACAATGATGCCTAACAGCCAACACTGATGTAAAGACCGAGATTCTCATGTGAATCAGTAAGTGATCAGCATTTAGTTAGATTTACTGTATATAAAATGAGGGATACCTCTGCCTCTGTACCTCCTGAGCCCGAGCTGTAGTCAATAGCCTGAATATCATCTAATCACATAACCGTGTTTCCTAGCATTTCTTTCAGATCTCCCTCTATCCACCCATCAATTCATGATTTGATTTCTTTATCTATATCTGCCTCGTTGTGTGGGCGTGTGTGTGTTTGTCTCAGTTGATAACATTATCTCTATCCCTGTAATCTTTATAGCTTTCCATTTTGAAACTTGACTGTCTACAGCGAATAAAGAACAGACTTTGGTTCAAGACAATTCCAATATATTATGTCCGCTGTTTGTTGTACTGTTCCCCCGGGCTGTGTGCTCCAGGTTCATACACTCATTGAATGTCTCCTGCAGTCAGTCCCGAGCTGAACATCAAGGTAAAGATAGTGAGACAGACAGTAAGTTGGGAGACACAACCAGTTAGCAACCCTCATGCATTTCAGATGTTCATCTTAATGCCTCTTATCTGGTCATATTTCCACTTAACCATTGTCTGAACCGTCAATTGGCTGGACATCTTTAAAGCCAATAAAATCTAAGCTTCGGCAAGTTTCCATTCTCCAACGTGAATAATAATAGGAGCCGGGAGTCAATAAGAGAGAAGGTTTGCAATTGAAATTCGAGGAGGATTATGAAAGGTATATTAGAAGGAAAAAAGTGTAAAACTAAAATAGTGAGTAATCGAAAAGGGAAGACAGAAGGAATAGAATGGTTCAACTGTTCTTACTTGCAATTAGATCTGTGCGTATTATAATCGAGTGGAAGTCGTTCCTGATATTCAGTTAGCTTTACATCTGTAAATATTGGTGTTTATTGGAGCCAAACAGAGTGAGATGGAGTTACGGACCATTCCAGTGGAGAGAAATTGACTTTAAAAAATATATAGTGATTGATTTAAATGAACCCAACCACTCATATGGCATTCCTGTGTGATGTGGAGTGGATGTGGATGCAGGAATCTCACCTTCCTTGAAGACGGTGTGTGTCAACTGGGGGTGGGGTGGGAATGGGCCGAGGAAGAGGGAGTAAATGTTCTGAACAGCACAGACCTGAAACCTTTCAGGGTGCCCACAACTTTTCTGAAACCCTTTGCGCCAATCTGCTTGGAAACTCACAGGAAGGACCAGCACCTCCTCTCCCCGGTGAACTGTTGGTACCTGATTCTCAACCAGACACGGCGAGAGAGCAAAGACCACGCCACCCTGAACGACATCTACACAAACAACATCATCGTCCGACTGGCCCAGATCAGTGAGGATGTCATACGTCTCTTCAAAAAGGTCAGTTGATGTCATCTTGTGGGAAGACAACAATAATAATAATAATAATCTTGCATTTGATGTAGCGGCTGTGTAGCTGAGCATCGCAACAGTAAACCAACTTACCAACTGAGCCACGGGAAGAGAAGGGCTTGAGAGCTTAGATAGAGAATGCGTTTTTATATTGTGATGACGATAATAATACCAATAAGAATAATTCTTGCATTCTCGGTCTAACACCAGCTTCCCCAGTGCAGCAAACATCTCCAGCGAGAGATAAACAGTTGGTGCACGGAATTAAACTGGGAATGGCCAGAGTCATTAGACCGGGTGCTCTTTAATGAGCAGAAGCGCACACGATATTTTATTTTATTTTATTTACGATGTCTGCCCACCAGTCGAAGTGGGTCTGAAAGATTCTGGTGTCAATCAAATGCAGCCCGTCACCTCCGCCCACTCTCCCTCCACCCACCCACCCCCCACCCCACTCTCTCCCCCCCCCCCCCCCCCCCCCGAGGCCGATTGTAGACCCTCGTGTCCAGCTTCTCTGCAAAGAATCAGCGGTTTTGTTCAATCTGGGCCGCGGTGGTTCACTGTTGTGAGCTTGACATCAGAGCCGCAGTCATGTCAGGCTGTGTCTTAACAACTGTGTGCCGTGCTCCTGGGTCTTGAGTCCTCATTAGCTGATACTTTAGAGTAGTTCATGGCTAGCCGGGCTTTAATGGTCCAAGTTAACAGTGTGAACTGTTTGTTATTTCCCGTGCCATCTGTTTGCTGGCGTGGGGGTGTGTGTGCGCGTGACAGTGCGTCTGCGTGTGTCAGTGTGTGTGTATGTGTGTCTGTGTGTGTAGTGTGTGTGTGTGGAAGAGAGAGACTGTGAGTTGCTGCAGAAACACTGCCTTTAAGATTCACTGGAGAGAGATGGGTGATGATGAGTCTATCAGCGGGAGCTACGTTTATTCTCTCTCTCTCTCTCTCTCTCTCTTTTTCTCTCTTCCTCCTTTCCTAAGATGGAGGCCGGCGCTGGGAGATGGTTGCAGGGGCAGCCTGAGATGGTCAGCAGTTGTTTAACTGTGCGGGCATTGCAACTGAGCTAAAGTAACCCCGGCCAACGTCAACGTGCACAGTTAGTTTCCAGCAGAGGTCACTCGCCAGCATTGGGGAGTGGGAGTTTCTATTCTCCCCCGGCACGCCCCCCCCCCCCCCCTTTTAAACAAGATCAAAAACTTGGCCCATTCTCCCCTCGTTCCTTCTCTTACCTCCTCTCACGCAGACAGCTGCTCATACCAGGGTATATTTATAATAATCAAAATCCTTGCATTTGATATTGCGCCTTCGAGACGTCTCAAAGCGCCTCACAGAGCATACGGTGAAGCGAATCGACTGTGTTTTTGGGGGCGAAACGCGGCAGCCCAATTGCGCACCGCAGCGTCCCCACAAACAGTCGTGGATCGAGTGACAAATTATTATTTTTTATATTATTATCGTGTGTGCGCGTGTGAGTGGTTGCGTAAGAGAGAGGGACAACAATAACATTTGCCTCCACAATACAGACACTGTACTTTACAGTACGACTCCCGTGAAGTGTTTGAGATGTCAAGTGGGCATTCGAGGCGTGGCAGGGAGTGGCATGTGTTTTGTGAGGGGCAATATACCCACGTTCTAGTTTGCCCTCATGCCACGCGCTCACATGGAATTTCCAGTGGATGGAGTTCAGTGACCATCTCTCTCTCTCTCTCCAATGATACATAGAATAGAATAGAATTATTAGTCCACTAAAAAGTCAAGTAACGACTCAATTTTTAGTGGGTTAATGAAACTTGTACTGTTATAGTTTTAGCGTTGAAGAGAGGGAGATGAGAATTTGTTTTGTAAGGGTATTAAGGGATGCGGAGAAATGGGATCAGTTAGTCACCGTAGACGAAATGGCGGAGGGGGTTTCATAGGCTGAATGAACCAGTTCCTATGCACGGAAGCTCCTTATCAAGACGTCTCACAGTTCACAATGGATTATTGTCAAGTTTTTCTAGGAAAATGCAGCAGTCTTTATGTGCCAGCAATGTCCCACAAACAGCCTTGAGGATACCAGACATTTTACTGTACAGTAGAGCCCTGTTTGGCTATAGCAGCAACAACTACAACAAATTACATTTACACAGCGCCTTTCACCTCCCATGGGAGGACATCCCAAGGCGCTGGACAGTCAGGGATCCGCACCCGAACCCGGGATCAGGAGGGGTGGAGGGCGGGGAGGGGGGGGTAAGTAAGGTTGCCTGAAGGCGCGGTCGAAGAGGAGGGTCTTGAGACAGGTCTCGAAGGCAAGTGAGGGGGTAATAATGCAGGTGGACAGTACCTCTCAGAAATCCAATGCTTCCCTCGCCCTCCCCCCACCCCTCCCTCCCTCTCCCCCTCTGCTCCCACCCCCTCTCCCCCTTCCCCCCCAACCCCCAGCAGTGCACTGGAGTGTCAGCCTGAATAACAAGCTCAAACCAAGCTGGAAATTTGCGTGGGCGGGTGGTGAGAAACCCAAGTGGCCTCAGTGGGACAGGTTTCGCAGTGACTACTGATTGTTAGTCAGCTGCAGGGCAGAACGGGAGAGGACGGATCGGGTGGCGGGGGGGGGGGGAAACGAGGAGATGGATGAAGGAATTTTCTACGTTCGCCGCAAAGCCACAGGGAGGGGACGTTAAGTCGCAGTTGTCTAACTTGGCGCTGTGTTATTTTCGCCCCGTCTCTTTCAGCCAAAGCAGTGACAGGCCACCGTTTGATAGAGTCTGGCAGACCGTAAAGTAATGAAAAATCATTTGCAGCTGAGTGCAAGGTTTTCCTTGGTCTCGCTCTCTCTCTCTCTCTCTCTCTCCCTCTCTCCCTCTCTGATAGCAAAGAGAACAAAGAGGTTCCTTCTCGCAGCCATTATCTGCCGCTGAGACCCCTCCGCGCAATATTTCAGTGATTTTAATTACGCAAAGTCAGGGTTTGCAGAGGCCGAGCCTTTTTGTGGGGTTGACCTCCAGGGTAAGGTTTGCATCGCAATTTAGCTCGTAAATCAGGGCGAAGATATTGGGTGGGGGGGGGAGCGGAGGAGGGCGGGTGGTGGTAGTGGTGGTGGTGGGTGGGGCGGGGGGGTGGTGGGAGGGGGGTTGGGGAGTGGGGGTGGGGGGGGGGGTGAGTTCCTGCCTTGGCTGGGTTTTGAGTCGCGAGATGGATTCTGAACTTGGCGAGGACTTGTTCTTAAAGCGACTGTCCCACGAAACCGCTCGGGCCGACATTGACAACAAAGTGGGGGGGGGGCCTCGGCAGAGTGTCTCGCTTGTGAAAGTCATTTTAATGTCTGGCAGTGAATAATCTACTCGCAGTAGATTCTTTTTCTTTCGATCCCCCCCTTTTCTCAGTGGGGGGAGGGTGCGTCCCTCCACCAAGGAGCCTTGACTCAGAGAACAGCCCTCTCTTTAAAGGAGCTGGTTATTAAATTATATTATTATTATTATTATTATTATTATTATTATTATTAAACCTCCAGCTTGCCCCCCCACCTTCCCCCTTGTTCAGGTCGCACCCGAAGGACCTTCCTTTTTCGACCGCGCCTACGGTCAACTCCCCTCCCCCGCCCCCACCCCGGCTCACCGCCGCGCTCCGCCACCGACAAGCGATCAGGGACGCTATCCCGCACGAGGGGCTGCTATGTCAATGCAAGTTGGCGCCAAGCTCGGACTATCAGCCGCAGTGTGATCGATGGAGTACCAGCACAGGGCTTCGCTGCGGAGAGAATTTCCCACTCAGGTCACTCGAGTGCAGCAGAACACAGATACTGCCTTCTCGTAAGAAGAGTGAGTAACGGAGGGAAGGGGACAGAGAGCGAGAGCGAGAGAGAGAGAGAGAGAGAGAGAGAGAGAGAAAGAGGAGAGACCAAACAAGACGTGTGGTTGGAAAGTGCAGTGGTCAAGGTTACAAAATGGAGCAAACGGCAGTGCCTGGGATGGCGTGTTTATTCCTGCAGTGGATCTTTTGTCCCTCGTCGTGAACTGCACAGAAGTGAAAGCGGCCCCTTTGACCACCGCAAGGCCCGGGTCTATTTGAAGAGGCGCTGCAGTTCCGAGAACCGTCAACAAGAATAACCCTCTCTTAATTTGTACCTCGAGTCGCGGTGTCTGGAAATTATAGCACCAAGAGCTTAAGAAAGCAGCTCGGGTGGAGTGTAGCCTGCCTGCTAAAAAGGTTGCTTTCGGGCAAAAATTTGCGATGTATCAAAGCATTGTAGTAATTCGCGCCCCTCAGGGTCTCGTTGTCATCCCCCGCTCCGGTTTTAGTTGGCAATGTGTACTCTGGGGTCTCTCGGCTGGACTACTATACCATGACTCTAACGCCCTCCTCGCCGGTCTCCCCCATCCACCACCATCCATAAAGTCCAAATCATTCGAAACTCTGCCGCCCGCATTCTCACTCCGCACCGTACTCCGCTCCCCGACCCCTGGCCAGTCGGCACCGGCTGCCCGTCCCAGAGAGGATCGATTTCAAGGTCCTCACACTCGTATTCAAGTCCCTGCACTCCTCTGCACCCCCCGACCTTCTGACCTCCTCTCTGCTCCTCTCTGCATCAGTAAACCACCCCCCCCCCCCGCCACCAAAAAAAAAGGGTCGCAGCAAGTTAGGGCAGAAGGTTTTAACCTCCAGACTGTTCGTGGGACACTGTGCACCAATTGGCTGCTGCGTTTCACCCGCAAAGTATACAGCCAATTAATTCACATTACAGTATATTCTGTGAAGCGTTTTGAGACGTCTCGAAGACGTAATAAGGCGCTGTATAAGTTTTCAGGGCTATGGGGAGAGAGCGGCGGAGTGGGATCAAATTGAATAGCTCTTTTCAAAGAGCCGCCAGAGACACGATGGGCCGAATGGCCTCCTTCTGTGCTGCATAATTCTGCGATATCAAATGCAAGGATTATTTTTATTATTATTATTGTAATCTAGGTTTGAATGCAGGGGCTAAAGTCTCCTGCTAGCTATAAGGATCAGGTGTGAAAAGACAGCCAGTCGTTTGAGGGTAGTTTCAAACCAGTTTCAATTGATCCAGGAGGCAATCGCACATTTTTGGGGTCAGCCGTGTGTTTGCGTGTCTTGAAACACACAGAAATCGATCACCAGGATTAAAAATACCCAAACCAGACTGAGAGCTCCGTGTACATGCGCCGCTTCCATGTGGAAACCGTTGTGAGATGTGGCACGGTCTTAATCTGGCAATTTCAGCGCTGCGAAGTGTTAGTGACAGAGAACGAGATCCGGTGGCTCTCAGCGGTTGATTTTGCAGTTAATAATCTGAGTTGATGCCGACGAGATTCGATTTAGTGGTGAGACAATGCGGTGGGATTCAATAATCTCCGTGTTAGCGAGCTTTGAGGGAAGGCGTAATCTGCTAAACGCGTTGTAAATGAAAAGCCAGAGAGCCAAGAGTGTTTTTTCTTACACAGAAGTTTCCCTTTCAGCTCGTTCCGTCGCGCGACTCGCTTTGTTGTAAAGTCTCACGGTTCAGGGATTTTGACAGGTCATTTGCATGCGGTGTGTAGCCGAACTCTAGGCCTGGGAAGTCCCGAGTTTGAACCCCTCCCCAACACCCCCCCCATCACCCCTCTCGGCGCTCGAAGGGAGAAGAGAAATGTATCGGCCGAGGATTTGGTTTCTGATTAATATTCAGCGGCGCCTGCCGGACGCAGTGCGGTTGTCGGGTGTGGTTAGGATCGGGTTCCAGTGTCATACCTCCTTCTGCGATAGTGATGGTGGTCGGGAATTCTGGCACGGCGGGGTTGTGGGGGGAGCGTGGCTGGTGTGGGGTGGGGTTGGTTTCTTTCCCCTCCAGGCGTCGAGACCATTCGCTGCTTCTGGCCCCAGAGGGAGAGAGGTGCCCCATGTCTGACTTCCCATTCTTTGTGTTTGCAGAGTAAGGAGATCGGGCAGCAGATGCATGAGGAACTGCTCAAAGTCACCAACGAACTATACACCGTGAGTGGGTATTCACTGTCTGCTCGCGGAGACCACATCCTGCATTCGCACCCCGTTCCCTTGTTGGTTTCTGTGTTTTTCTGGAGAGTTTCTTCATCTCTTGCGCTGCATTTGTGCACTCTCAGGTCCAGTACATTATGGATTAGATGCAGAGTAAAGCTCCCTCTACACCGTCCCTCTACAGAGTAAGGCTCCCTCTACAGAATAAAGCTCCCTCTACACTCTCCCTCTACAGAATAAAGCCCCCTCTACACTCTCCCTCTACAGAGTAAATCTCCCTCTACACCGTCCTTTTCATCACATCCAAGTCAGGTACAGTTGCTTCTCCGAGTGAACGTCACTCAGAGAAGCAACTGCTCCAGGCCCCAATGAATGGCAACCTGATATCAAGAGAGGTCTGAGGATGTCAAGAGAGGTGTGAGCCTTTGCCCAGTCTTATCTTTGCTTTTTCCTGATGGTGGCACAACCCAGATCCAGAAACAAAAACAGAAGTGGCTGGGAACACTCAGCGGGTCAGGCAGCATCTATGGAGAGAGGAAAGTGAGTCAACCTTTCAGGTCGATGATCTTTCGTCAGAACTTTTGCCTTACGCCCCATCAGAAACCACAAGCTTTGGGAATCCCAAATGGTATCTCAATGGTCAACATGTTTTTAGGTATATAATAGGTATTAAAATCCTCAAGAACTGAGAGAGTGTTCTGTTTTCCGTCACCAACATCCATCTCCTTAACGATCTTAAATTTGGCAAAACAAAGAAATTAAGGAAGGAATGAAACGGCAGAGACATTAATCTTGTAGATTGTTTTTTTTTCCCTCCGCAGTACAAAATGTTCTTCGACTGGCCCCTCGCGACTTGCCAGCTCTTAACACACACTCTCTCTCTCTCTCTCTTCTCTGTCTCTCTCTCTCTCTCTATCTCTCTCTCAGGTGATGAAAACCTACCACATGTACCACGCCGAGAGTATCAGCGCGGAGAGCAAACTGAAAGAGGCGGAGAAACAGGAGGAGAAGCAGTTCAGCAAATCGGGCGACCTCAACGTGAACTTGCTGCGTCATGAAGACAAGCCCCAACGACGCAGCTCCGTGAGGAAGATAGAGAAGATGAAAGAGAAGGTACGTTCCTCACAGAGGACACAGCCTTTTAGCTACAAGATTTGCATGGCACAGGAGATGAGTGAGATGCTAGATGAAAGACCAAGGTCCATCTAGTTCGCCCTCCACCTTCCTGGTGGTTCGCATGCACATAGGTCTCGAACTACTTATGTATTGTATCCCCTAATGTTATTTCCTAAAAGAAAACTATCTAATCAACATTTCCTCCTTCAACCGTCTCCCTATGGAGACTGTTACAAAGGTTTATTACCTGCGTTACAGGTGATGTGCCTGTAATGTGCTGCACAGTTGGTTTAGGCCTCAAGAGTGAGGACTCAAGCTCGAATGGCCAAGGAATGCTCTGATCTGAGGGCATGTCTTGCCATTCAGTTCCCCAATGGCTGGGCCCATTGAAAACAGAGCTTGATGCCCTTGATCAAAGACTGTAGGGTAGATATTCTGGACGATGCGATCAAATGGGATGAAGGATCTTCTCCAGCTGAAGGTCCCTTGTGATCTTGAGTCTGCACTTTTATTTAATAGAGCCGTCAGGGTGAGAAACGGCCATTTGTGGCACCAAAGGAACAGTCGCTTATTAAAGCGATTTTTTTTCTCCTACTGAAGGATGAGATGCTCATGTCAGGGAATATACCACGTTGCCATTTCAGACTCTCAGCACTTCAGGAGCACAGTCAGAAGCAGAGTAAAGTTTCCGCCAGGCAGTTCATCAATTGTTCCTTAGGCAGATATTCCATGGATTAGATGCTGAGTAAAGTTGGTTCTATTCTGTTGGTTCTAACATCAGGAATAATAATAATAATAATAATAATCCCTGCATTTGATAGAGCGCCTTATCACGTCTTCGAGTCGTCTCAAAGCGTTTCACAGAATGTACTGTAAAGTGAACTGACTGTATAATTTGTGGGCGAAACATGCCCACTGCGCACAGCAGCGTTCCCCCAAACAGTGGTGGATTGAGTGACCACATTATTTTTTGGGGAGTGATTTTGTTAGGATTCCCAAGCACTTTTTAACCACCGCTTCTGTGGAGTCCTGTAGCTCAGTGGTTAGCGCACTCGCCTCGCAAGCGAGAGGACCTGGCAGGGTGAAGTGTTTGGCCAGTTTCCTTACTCCATGCGCCTCTGTTTACCCAGCGGCAAGCAGGAACCCGGTTGTTAGTGGATTTGCGGATCGCTGTTCCAGGGCTTATAATCTCTTTAAAAAGAACGTTTTTGTGGTCACTCAATCCACGGCTGTTTGTGGGGACGCTGCTGTGCGCAATCGGCTGCCGTGTTTCGCCCGCAAATATATACAGTCAGTTCGCTTCACAGTGTATCCTGTGAAGCGCTTTGAGACGTCTCGAAGACGTGATAAGGCGCTACGTCAAATGCGAGAACTCTTCTTCTTTTTCTTCTTCAATTGAATGTGTATTTCGTCTGAATCGGTTCAGTTCCAGAATAACAACCCATTTCGGTTTTCCTTAGCATCAAATTGGCAAGAGGGTGGGTGAAGAGAAACAGAAAACGTCCCACTGGCGTAATGGGGCCGGGGGTTGGGGGCAGACCTTTTTTGAGCTTAGGAATGACATATTATTAGGATCTACTGTTAAAGGGGGCTATCCTTTTGTCTGCACTATTCTTGTCCTGGAAGTACTTGGTGGGTCAGTGTTAGCGGGAGCTTTACCGGAACCTAACACAAAGAATAATTTATTGCTTTTAATAAAAGCGGCCGTCGCAATGGATGTGAAAGAGAACATACGTTAACAAATTGCGTCTGAAATAACAAGCAGGCCCTTGAGGGTTACCAGAGGGCAGCTAACGTGAGAGGTTTCAATAACTCTGACATGCTTGCAGATCTAAGCTCTGTGTTGGTGACTCAACTGAATTGGAACAAGTTAATTGTGTGCAGTTGCGTTTCGCGTAATTGAATGCGTTTTTCTCCCCTCGCCACCTTATGCATATGGAGGCTTGGTGAATCTGCGTAGCTTGTTCACGTGAGCTCGTGAGTTCATTTCAAGCCCGGTTGCACTGCCATTGGGGGTGAGCTGCAGCTGATGTTATAGTGTTTAATCCCAACGCTAAAGGCTCCTTCGGGAACAATTGTTTCTCCAGCAATGGGCCGTACATCAGAACAGCTTCGAATCTCCTCGAATGCAGTCCTCTGAAATAATGTCTGGACGTATGTGAATGTTACACTGTTTAATCTGATCAGAAGGAACGGGCGAGGATGCAGAGAAAGAGAGTGATCGCGTAAGGAACTGAATCAGGTTCCGGAGAAAGAAGAAACTGGCAGATTTTTAGGGAACACAGCATTGCAACCACCACAACAACTTGCATTTAAACAGCGCCCCTCACACATGGCAGCGTCCCAGAGTGCTTGACATCACGACATCAAACCAGGGGGAGGGGGGAGGTGAAGACGGGGAAGGAACAGGGCAAGGCGGAGGGATAGAGGAAGATTGTTCCAGAGTTTCGGGGCGCAGTGGCTGAAAGCGTTGGTGGAACGGAGGGAACGAGGGACGAGCAGAAAGCCGGAGCCAGTCGAGCTTCCTGCAACCGTTTCCGTTGCAGGAAGAAAACCAGGAGTGAAGTCATTTAGTGAGATCCTCGATGATGATGATGATGAAGTGAATGGGTGGGTCTGCAATTCCTTGCAAGTTCAGCACAGAAGGCATCTGTTCCCTTGCGTTCCAGGGCAAGCTCCAGCACTGACCTGCGCTGATTGGAAACACACTATGTGAACAGCCACAAGGAGAAATCAGCTCACGGCACAGACAGTTATTGGATTCTGTTGTGTGTAATTTATAACAGTAATAATCCTTGCATTCGAATGAGCGCCTTATCACGTCGTCGAGATGTCTCAAAGCGCGTCGCAGGATACACCGTAACTTGAATCGACTTTATATATTTTGTGGGTGAAACGTGGCAGCCAATCGCGCACAGCAGCGTCCCCGCAAACAGCCTCTTTACAACCGAACAAGAATGCAACACTTTCAATTGTTCACAATATAATCCAAATTTTTCTCTACAAGAGATGATTTCTAACAATTTTCTGTTGGCTCAGTAAATTGCGCAGGGGATCGACAGAGGTGGTGTTGTCCCACATTATGGCCATTTTCATCAAGCCTTGCGCGAGCTACTGTTTCTCTTAATGACCCAGGGGTGACTGAGTGCATCGGTGCAAGGTAGGGTAAGAGCAATGAAAGACAGTGGGGTGGGCTGGGGTTTGTGTGGTGGGGTGGGGGGCCGGGCGGGCGGGGAGGGGAGAGGGGGGGAGTCTGTTCAAAGCGTTGACGTTCATTTTGATTGAGCTATTCATCAATCCTGCATTACTTTCCAGATGAGGAAATCCCTCCCCCATCACCTCCGTGCCACCAACCATCAACATGTTTGTCTGTATGGAGCAGTGTTTCATGAATTTTCGGCAGTGATTCAGGAGCGGGAAAATTAAACACTTCCCCCCCCCCCTTAAGTCGTTTGATTAAACGGCACTAAACACGTAGCTGGGAGGGACAGTGCAGGTTAGATGTAAGAGTGAAGTTAACCACCACACTGTTCCGTCAAGCACCGCTAAAGCCCGGATCTATTCTGAATTGGGTGTTTACTAACCCTTGCGAGTTCCTGCTGATCATTTTTCAAGAAAATAACATGGATCAGTCAAGGCAAAGTTACCGCCCTAACAAGGAGTCTTAATACTAATAATGCTTGCATTTGATATCGCGCCTTATCGTGTCTTCGAGACTTCTCAGAGCATATATTGGGAAGTGAATTGGCTACATATTTTGCGGACGAAAGGCGACAGCCAATTGCGCACAGCAGTGTCCACAAACAGTCGTGGATTGAGTGACCAATTTATTATTGAGTCTTAACCCCAGTTTGAGAAAAGCGCCATCTATTGTGTGAGTCTGTCATTTCCATTCCCTAAATCAAACATTCTTATACAGTACTGTCAAGCGAACGAGACTCACAATTGCAGGTAGTTTTATATAATGCAAAGAATTCCATTGAATTCATTTTGCTTAATAACTTTAATGCCAGCAACGTGGAGATTTTCATCAGTCTGGCCTTGTTCAGATCCTAGACAATCCTAGACAACTGCACAATCCAGTCGAAGGCGTCCTATTGTAATCAGGAGTTCTTTATAGTGGAAAGATAATAATAATAATAAGCCTTGTATTTGATATAGAGCTTCATCACGTCTTCGAAACATCTCAAAGAGCTTCACAGAATACACTGTCAAGTAAATTGACTGTATTTTCTGGGTGAAATTGATATCAAGTTTGTTATAATTCTATACAACAGGAAGGAGTTTGAACCCTTGGATACTCATGCAAATGGAGTGAACGAGGAGCGTTTTAACCAATTGATAGTTTTATACAATGAGATTCAGCGTGAAGGGGTTTTGTCTATCGAAGCCTTGGTTAAGGGCGCGACATTTCCTGAGGTGTCCTGTGATTAAATAATCCACCCCTAACGTTACGCCTTTTATCTATTTCCTCAGCGGCAAGCAAAGTATTCTGAGAACAAGCTGAAGTGCACCAAGGCAAGGAATGATTACCTGTTGAACCTTGCAGCAACGAATGCAGCTGTAGCTAAATATTATATCCACGATGTCTCTGACCTGATTGATGTGAGTAATACACAGCCTTGTAAACCAAGCACAACTTTTTAGAGCTAATCTCTCCTGTTCTTTTCAACGTAATTGTTCTGTGTTATTGGCCTTGGCCCTTCTCCCAGGTCCTGTCGGCTTTTTTTTTAAAAAGAAAAGGGAGTTTGATTGTTCTGCTATCCATCGTGGGATCTACTGCTCTCCCAACCCCCACCCACCCACCCACCCACCGCCACCACCACCCAAGTCCCCACCCAAGTGGAAAACCCGACTACTTCCCGCTTTCAAACAAACTTGCGCTCAGCAGGAACCAACCGCTTAAGAGGCAGAGTTCTCCCCGAGTTAAGTTCTTTACCGCAGGGCTCTGAGCTACCACTTGAAAGGGACTCGGTGGGGCTAAACCTTGTCTGTCTCTTTTACTGGTCCAGTAATTGTCTCGAGTTGGATGAGATTCAATGTTCCCCTTCACTTTGTGTTCAACTTCTGCTCTGGCTTCCCACACTTCCTCTGTTGTTTTGCTGGCTGTCAGCCCCCCCCCCCCCCCCCTCCCCCCCCACTCCCTTACACTCGCCCTCTCCCCGCCCTCCCCGAGCCGGTGATACTCAGCACTCTCTATTCTTTGCCCAGTAATCTCTGCAAATTCACTTTCCCGTCTGTGCTTCGAATGAGGTTCCAGATGTTTTTCTGTGAATTCCAAACTTCATCTTCTCTCACCACCCCCCCCCCTCCCCGCCACCCCCCCCACCCCCCCCACCACATACACACACACAGCACCACCGATGCTGTATCAGACACACAATCCCAGCATTGTACAACATGTTCCACTCTAGTTAGCATATATCACCATGGAATCGGCAAGCAAAGGCATCAATGTGTGGACACACACACACACACACACAGACACACACTCTGTTGGGTTACCATAGCTATTTGTATTGGAAAGAAAAAAACGAGGTTGCGTTTTTTCTTCTCCAGGTTTTTTTGTTCAATTCAATCCCTTTTGTTTGTTGCCGAGTTCTCGGGGAACTTTATTTTATGGCACGAATGTTTATTGGGCGAAGAGAGAAGGGCAATATTAAGCTGTGCATTCAGCAGGACAGGGGCAATTTTCTCCTGCTTTGACTGCGGAATCCAACCTCTTTACCTCCTAACCCCACCACCCACCCCCCTCCCTTCCTCCCCTCTCCCCTCCCTCCCTCCCTCCCTCAACCGCAGAAAAAAAAATCTTGTTTACTCAGCATGGTAAACTTGGCAGAGGCACCATTACTCTGCATTCAACACCTCTCCTTATTCAAGAAAAAGTGCAGTACATTCAAGATTTCTGTCTCTGCAGCAGAAAGAAATTGGAGCCAAGGGCTATAACGTGTTTGGAATAATGAATGCAGTTAATTGGGAATTTCAGCTCAGTGCTGTCTCAGGATACTTGGCACAAGGCAGAGTGTTCGAATGTATATTCAGGCCTCTTGCAATCATTTGGATTCCTTGAGGGTTATATATGCACAGTCGAGGCTCAAATTAGACCACTTAGGCTTTTATTGCTTGAAGAAAGTTAGCCTCTGGTGGTGTGTGTGTGGGAGTACGTCTTTAATTTCCTTATAATGGGTTATTAATCTTGTTTAAATCATCAGAGCGATGCATGTACTGTATTAATAATAATAATCCTTGCATTTGATACAGCGCCTTCTCGCGTCTTCGAGACGTCTCAAAGCGCTTCACTGTAAAGTGAGTCGACTGTACATTTTTGTGGGCGAAACGCGGCAGCCAATTGCGCACAGCAGCGTCCCCGCAAACAGCCGTGGGTTGAGTGACCAAATTATTTAAATTTATTTTAAAGGAATTATTGATACAAAATACAGAGAATTTTGCCTTTTTAGTCTTCTGCCAAAAAGCGAGAGCTCACGAAGACAACTGTTAGGTGTTGGGTTGCGTCAACAAAAATAGAGCTGTTTCTGAGGCATTGTTCCCAAACAGATGTTTCCTCACCTTCTAAGATCCAGTCCAGATGGGGTTGTAGGGTGCTTTATTGCACAGTGCCTGTGTGTTGCTTACAAAATATATCAAATGCAAGGATCATTATTCTGTTATTATTGTTGTTTTAACCTTACTTACCTGACTTCAAAGGAATTGGGAGTCAAAAGCTATTTAACGGCTATTTAATGCTATATCAAATGCGAGGATTATTGTTATTATTATTCATACAGTACATGCATCTCTCTGACGATTTAAACAAGATTAATAACCCATTATAAGGAAACTAAAGTCGTAGTTCATGTTTTGTGATCTGATAAAGAATCTGTACTATGGTATACTTGTCAACCTGTAGATTTGTATGAATTCTTAGAGCTGCTTATCTCTCGAAGCAGCGATTCACTCCTTTCTATTGACTAATTGAATCACTTGCTGTTAGAGCCTTCAGATTTTAACCCCCTAAATCGGAATTTTAGATTAATTTAATGGATATTACCATATCCTGAACAACCTTCGGTGGAGACGCAAAATGAACAGGACAACAGCAACAACGAGATTACATTTGTATAGCGCCTTTCACGTCGGAAGGATGTCCCAAGGTGCTGAACTGCAGGACAAGAACTACTTTGTCCTGAGTTCCATCCACATTTCAGCTGCTTGGAAGCAATCGATACGTTGACCCCGGCCATTCCCATTCTTAATCTTATTAGATTAAAGCCATCTGTCACATAATGGGATCACAGCAATTATCTGGAGCACTGATCAGTAAATTGGTAACCTGTCTACCCCCAATGACATTTAATTCTAGAGAAGGAGAATTAGCTCTGGATCAAAGAGGGTTTTTCACAGACTAACAACAACAATAAATTACATTAGTATAGTGCCTTTTACGTCGGGAGGACATCCCAAGGCGTTAACCTTCTTAAACTGACATGAACCCCAACTGCCTTAGCTCACTGCATTTTAATACCCTGCTTAAACCCCTTCTAACCCTACAAATGTCTAACAGCTTCTTTAGTTTTGATTCATTACTTAGTATTGACTAAGTACGTTGCTTCATTCGAAAAGAGAAGGGAGTTTCTCCCGGTGTCCGGGCCTTTACAGTGTATTCTATGAAGCGCTTTAAGACGCCTCGAAGACGAGATAAGGCGCTATATCAATTATTATTATTATTATCAAATGTAAAGGATTATTTGATCAGTATTGTTTCTGGTCTTTCTCCTCAGTGCTCTGATTTGGGATACCACGCTGGTCTGGGACGTACGTTCAGAACATACCTTTCTGCGGAATATAACCTCGAGACCTCGCGCCACGAGGGGCTGGACATTATTGAGAACGCTGTGGATAACTTGGACGCACGCAGTGACAAGCACAAAATCATGGATATGTGCAACCAGGTCTTCTGTCCACCCACCAGATTTGAGTTCCAACCGCACATGGGAGATGAGGTACATTGCTGTGGATCGGACTCGTTTCTTTTCTAACCGAGAACTTAAACGGCAAAGTGAGCCGTACTCAATCCTTGTCTACTGTCTGCACGAACGTGTTTTTGCTGGTAACAGGCAGGATAACGAGCCAAGTCTGATTTTATTTCCCTTTAATAAGTCAGGGTTAATACCCCACTCCTGACATCTGTTAATTCAGCGTATATCAGGGATTGATCCCGAAAACCTTCCTGGTCCGTATGACTCACTTGAAGAATAATGAATTGCAAAGTAAGGTAGAATTACAAAACAGATCAATAAACAATCAGCAATAAGATTGAGCTTATACAATGAAGTAGTGTTATATAAGGATTATTAGTATAGTGTTCGGAGAAATTGGACCACCATTTGAGATGTGATAACCAACCACCCAACAAGAGTGAGGAAAGATACTAAGATGGCCATGAATATTGTACCTCTCATTAGAAATCAGCAGCAATGACAACTTTACATTTATATAGCATCTTTCACATCAGGTGGACATCTCAATCCCTCAGTAGAACTGACTTATAAGTTCAAACTGGGCGTAGGGTAAATCTGAGGATATAGCACCCCTCATATGCAGGAGAGCGTCTCAGAGCGCTTGGATATTGAGGGATATATGCTGCAGTTATTGTACGGAACAGAAGGACCCTCTCCTAGCCTTTTCGTCCATCTAAAACATCTGAGTCTGACTAGTCTGACGCTGGATTCAAACCCCTTTCAGCCAACAGGCAAATATTAATCCTTATGAGTCTCCTGCATATTTTATGACATAAATATTTCAATATCTCAGGGACCAAAGCATCAAACGTATTTAATGGCTGCATAAAGCCGTGGCTCGGAATTGGCATTGGATTTCTTTTATTAAAATAAAAGTTTCTAAACTCCCTGGTGACGCCAAAGAGACTACTGTAACAGCCAAGAGAGAGCGCATGCTAATTGGGGGTCTCGCAAACCATTCGGGAATTTTAAATGCGGTCGTGCCTTGTGGACCTCTTCACCGTTCAAGTCGGTAAAGGAATGGGGCCACTTATGTGGTAGCAGGTTACTCTGGAGCTCGTCTCATGCAACCAGTGGAGTGTGATTGCGTTTGAAATGATTTACGATTCTCTCCGTGAACCGAAGATAAGTAGAACACAATGGCTGCCCCACAGCCTATGGCTGGTGCTAGTAGTAATAATAATAATAATCTTTGTATTTGATATAGCGCTTCTTCGAGACGTCTCAAAGCGCTTCACAGGGCATACTGTAAAGTGAATTGACTGTGCGTTTTGTGGGCGAAACGCGGCAGCCAATTACGCACAGCAGCGTCCCCACAAACAGTCATGGGTTGAGTGACCCAATTGTTATAATTATTATTATTTTTCGGGACACAGGGATTGAACTGTACGCACAGTGAAACCAGCGATCGCGTCTTATTTTATGAATCCCTTTCGCATTATAAGTATGCATTGTGCATTATCCTATTAGGGACTCCCATCGCACCCATTCTCCATAGGTCTGTACTGTGGCACCTGTGATAGTGACTTTACGGCCTTTCCTTGTTCCATACGTTTTGTGGTACGCGGTTACAAGGCAAAATAATGAATTATCAGCTTCCCCATTTTGCTGTACACATTCCGTGAGTCAAAACAGCTGCAAGTAGTTTAGAAGCAAAGGATAATTGCTCTTTTATTTGACATGTCTGTCTATAAAGCAGTTTATTTTTGCTTTGCAGCAAGATTTATTAAGCAAAATAATTCGCCTCATTCTTTACACACCAGTGAAATAAACCCTGAAACGAGTCCGTCTCGCTTCACGTGCAGTTACTCACAGAGCGATTGGTGGAATAAGTTAACAGGGAAGATCAGGGAGATGGAGTTTAAGAGGCACCTCAATGAGTAGGATTGAGGATATGATGGTTGATTGGATAAAATCTGTAAAAGAATGGTGGACCCTAGTGGTTTCTTGTTCCTAAAAGTGTTTTTTTTATCCACATAAACAGCATTTCCAGATGTTAACCGAGCCATACCACTCTCATTTAACCTGCAAATGTATGGCGTATGGGGGTGGGGGGGGGAGGGGTGGGGGGGTGGGAGTATAATGTCAGTTCAGAAAGGTTCACATAATAATCATAGATCACAGATGCCGCTTTATATTTTGTTAGCCTTTTTTTTTTACAGCTGCTCAAAAGTGAGGGACTTTGCTGCCAAATTGAATGCTTTCGATTCCAAGTGCCAAACACAACTGTAGCTCTCTCCAGACATACAGACATACAGCCCCATGAAGCACTCCCAGATCATACGTAGCACCATCAGTAGACCTCAGCTCCAAATAATAATAATCCTTGCATTTGATGTTGCGCCTTATCAGGTCTTCGAGACATCTCAAAGCGCTTCACAGAATATTCTGTACAAAAAATGCCCAAATGATCCCCTCTTTGACCACACCAGGATCATGTCATTTTATTTCCTCCTATCCTCCGGGCGCTCTGAGCGTGATCTGGGAGCCAGTTTGGGCGGGGGACACAACAAGATAGGATTGAGACAGCCATCAGAGAGAAAAGGAGACTTTCACCCCATGAATTGAGGCTGGATTAGGATCCAGCTGTGAGAACTGAGAGCATCTTTATTCCAGTAAAACAAAATAATAACTTTTAATGTAATCCACTAAATAATAATAAAAGTAATTTAATCCACTAAATAATAATAATAGTAATAATAATGTGATCGCCTAAAGTGCTCAGTCGTGTGATTAAATGGGTTCCAAAACCAATTTTTTTTTCTTTAACTGTTCTGCTTCAGTTATACCTCTGTTCGCGTGGCGATGCTTTGCAAAAGACGGCTGCCATATTGGCGAGTTACTGGCTTGGATGTGCTCATTTTTAAATGACTATTATTCAAGGAGAGTCGACTCAGGCTGCACCTCTGACTGGGTCCCATAAATGTTCAGGATTCCACTTAACCATTGCTGGCGGCTGTTGTTGTTAACGAGGGATGGATGACACATTGATCCGTGCGTAAAAGAGACAAAATTTATGAAACCACTGCGTTCTGAGAGGTCTTCGCAACAGCTGAGGAATGTTCAGCATGTGTGGGATTCTCAATTAACTCTGGAAAAGCTTGGGGCAGTTGCTCAGTGATGGGTGTGTTGCAAACCGAGGCCGAGAGCGGGGTGTGCTTAGGCTTGCACTTAGTGGTTCACTCTGCCACGTTGAAATGGTGTCGCGGCTTAGACTTTGTTCGTGGCCTTTTGTTTGTGTGTTTGTAACGTTCCAGTGTTTCCTATTGTACAGTCAGGTCAATGGCATGAGATGTTGAAATTGTTGTGGTCTTAGTCTCTCTCCCTCAATCCCTCCGCCTTGCCCCCTCCCTCCCCACCTTCAGATCCCGCCTAGAGACCTTCCTTTTTTGATCGCGCTTACGGTCACCTTCCCCCCACCCCCTCCCTCTCCCCCGGCTCGTTGTCAGATTCCGCCACCGCGAAGCGATCCGAGACGCTATCCTGCGTGAAGGGCACTGTATAGACGCCAAGTTGTTGTTTTAAGATCTTTTTGGTGTTGAAAGACAAGGTGGGGTTCATACCTTGGGGTTCCCAATAGAGTATTACAATCTGGACGGCTGATCAGATTAAATCAGTGTGCGGTGAGTGAGATGTGTGGCACATTGTCAAATCCCCATTTGATGCTGAGCTCGCTAGAATAATCTAGGCATTACCTTGGCCTCCACGTCCGGGATGATCGAGGAGGGTAAAACCAGGGTACCTTCTCACTGCCCGCTACACCTGGATAGTTTTTGAGGACTAATTCTTGTGTCTGATGCCAACCTTTTAGGTGTGCCAAGTGAGTGCCCAACAGCCCGTGCAGACAGAGCTTCTGATGCGCTATCACCAGCTCCAGTCTCGACTGGCCACCCTGAAGATCGAGAACGAGGAGGTGAGCCAAACCCAACTGATTTTAAGATGACGTTGCTGTTGCTGTTGCTGACCCCTGTCCTTTGCCAATAGTTCTGAGCTACAAACCAGAATTCAGTAATTAATAATAATAACACTAATAATCCTCGTATTTGATACAGCGCCGTATCACGTCTTCGAGACGTCTCAAAGCGCTTCACAGAACATACTGTAACGTGTATTGACTGTATATTTTGTGGGCGAAACGCGGCAGCCAATCGCGCACAGCAGCGTCCCCGCAAACAGCCGTGGATTGAGTGACCAAATTATTATTTTTTTGAAGGAATTATTAACGATATTATCGACTAACAGCCGGGTTCCTACTTACTGCTGGGTAAACAGAGGCGTGCGTGTGGAGTAAGGAAACTTGCCCAACATTTGCCCTGCCTAGCTGGGAATCGAACCCAGGTCCTCTCGTTTGCGAGGCGAGCACTCTAACCACTGAGCTACAGGACTAATTTAAGAGTATAACTTGGATGTTCTTGCTCGTTATCCTCCTTCCCAGGTCAGGAAGACTCTGGACGCCACCATGCAGACACTGCAGGACATGCTGACTGTCGAGGACTTCGATGTTTCCGACGCGTTCCAGCACAGCCGGTCCACAGAGTCCGTCAAATCTGCCGCCTCTGAGACCTACATGAGCAAGCTCAACATTGCCAAGAGACGGGCCAACCAGCAAGAGACCGAGATATTCTATTGACCGTAAGTTTCATATCGTTCGAAAAAGGAGGCTTTTAGAGCAAGGAATTTGTTAGGCAACACATTTGAGACCACAGTTTGGAAGCCTAGAAACAGGACATTTAGCCTCGTATTCCATATCCCTTGATACCCTGACCCAACAAACATCTATCCATTTCCAAATTAATAGACATATCACTATTGCTTGTAGATATCTACTGCTATCTCCGAATTGGAATCCTCTAGTGACTTTAGATGGTAGCCTTTTGGCTGCTACTCTTCCCTTCTCTCTCATTCAGTCACTTTTTTTTTCCTGAAGTAAGTATTCGCACGAGACTGTGAAGGCAAATTCCATCTGAATTCAAATGAAGAAAATCGTTGACTCCTGAAATCCGACTCCCCTACCCCGCAATTATCAAACCGAGGAGATTCAGGAAGGAGAGGTTATTAATGTTTTTATATGCTCGAAGGAAACGTTTAATTTTTAATGCGGATTCCTTGTTCCTTTCAGAAATTTAAGGAATACTTGAATGGAAGCAACCTTATCACCAAGCTCCAGGCCAAACATGACCTGCTGAAGCAAACTCTAGGGGAAGGTGAGTTACCGGATCCAAAATTTCTTCTTGTGAACACGGACCGGGTTCTCTAGGATAGGGAGGTCGATTCTTATATAATTGGGACACGACGTGTCAAGCGACTGCCAGGATAGGACAAGGTGAACCTGATGGACTTTGGTCTTCGTTAGCCTAGCAAAGAATTCTCACGTTCTTTAGAAGGAGGCTCTAATTAGACGCCAGGATTTTGTACGGTTTTTCAAGGTCGTGTACAGTCCGGAACGTCTCAAAAAAGAACACGCTACACTCCACTCTCACTCGTGTGCCACTCGCCTCTTACGTCTACTTTGTTTCTTCCACGAGTACGCATGCTCGCACGCATACAAGAGCGCATATAGGCACACACACACACTCACAACACACACACTCACAACACACACACACACTCACTCACACACACACGTAAACACACACAACGCACACCGAAGGCACGATCGAGGGTTTTTAGATGGGACTTGAAGGAGGCAAAGTGGGTGGGGGGTGACGGGGGTGAGGTGGAGGGATTGCTAGATAGAGTTCCAGTGTTTGGGGGCAGAGATGCTGTAGCATTCTGGAGCCATCACCGTTTCATGAAACTCTATGGATATGCTCACACTGTGACAATGGAAGAGGCTCAGAGGCCTAATTGGGTGCATGCTTTTGATCGTTCCCTTCAAGTGAAATCTTTGTAGTCTCTGCATGTTCTTGCCCAGTATGAGGCTCGTGGGGCAATTAAATCATGAGAAATATCTAGGCCGAGCGAGCGCTGTACAGCTGGATCTTCAGCATCAATAAACTCATCTGGTTTGAGGAGGATTGGGTTGCAGCTGGGCCTTTCCCAAACAGGCAGAAGCTCTTTTCTGTTGACTGACACGCAAACCTCCACAGGCGATAATGTTCCTATGACAGTTCTGTGGATCATTGGTGTGTTTGCAGATCTGTGAGATGCAGGCAATTCATCTTGGGAAGAGGGTGAGGCTAGACAGGAGAACTGCCAGCAACGGGAGTTTGACAAGTATATGGGCTCATCTGGACCCCTCTATATGTGAACGCAATTGCATCCTGAATACATCTGTCGATTATGTCTTGCTTTCTAGGGCAGAACACATCAAAGACTAATGGGGCGAGACATTGGATGTATGGGGATGGGAGTGGAGGGGTGACAGCTGTGAATTACATTACTTATGAGTGGCCAAAGAAAGGCAATTATATGAAAAATTAACATTTTAAAAACCTCCGCGAAGCTTAAATTGAAGTGCCGTGTTGTGACAAAAAAGCAATGAAAGATAATTCCCAATGTTTGATTATTTTGTCATCTTCTTTTTTGCAAAATATATCTGTATTTGCGCTCCTCTGATTGCCAGGTGTAGTAAATATTGTGGGGAAACTTAATCACTTATATCCTCTAACATCCGAAATCATCTGCATGATCAACACTGTACTCCCATTACAGTTTTAATACTTCCTTTCTAGAGTGGGACGCACAAAACTGCAAATAATATTCCAGTTGCACCATAACTAATGTTTTATGAAGATTCATAATTCGTAATAATAATAATCCTTCCATTTTGATACAGCGCCTTATCACGTGTCCAGATGTCTCAAAGCGCTTCACAGGATATACTGTCAAGTGAATTGTCCGTATATTTTGTGGGCTATTATAATAATGTGATAGTATATATTACATTAATATTACTGTATAATCACTTGCTCACATTTGAATTCAGCGACTCTGTACGTTAAGCTCAGGATGCTATCAAAAAAAAATGCAAGGATTATTATCTGCCCTTTCCAACCACTTTTTACTCAGACGTGTTCTTTTTGGTTCCTTCGCAGGTGAAAAGGCCGAATGCGGTACTTCAAGGTAGGACAACAGCTTTCTGCATCCCAAAACCCAGACAATCTGAAACGAACTGTTAATTTCACAGGCAATATCCAATTGCTTAGCTTCATCCAGCTCTCTGTGTGTGTGTGTGTGTGTGTGTGCGTGCGCGTGTGTGTGGAGTTGACAAGAAACTCAGCTGGTTGACATTTTAGGGGTCTCTATCCTTTCCCAAGTTCATTTGGGATGATATGCCCATCATCCTTTCGACGTCCCTGGAGTTGCTGCTCTCTTCTTGGCTCTTCACCATAAGGTGTACCACAGGGACGCAGATCATTTCAAGAAGATCTCGCTGGTTCTTACAAAACCCTCCAGGAGAATTCCTCCTGGGATCATCGAGTTCAAACTTGGGAATTGTGGAAAGTTTCTACTGTTTCAGCGACCACATTGCACTAACTCGTTAAAGTCACTCGTGAGGTGATTACCCTGCTACGTCTCAGGATTTTCTTCATCTGGTTTTCGTCAGGGGATGTTTTTCCTTTTGGATTAAAGTCGGAATAAATTGAATTTCTGGCTTTTTGATTCCAATCCCATATCTTTCAGCCTTTTCATTGTAAGGGCTGTTAACCGTGGCACAGTTACTACACGGGCTCTCCAGAGAGATGAAACCTAGCTCTCCCCTCCTTGTTGCGGTGCTTCAACCCAAACCCTAGATTGAAACATTTTTGAATGTATTTGAATCTAGAAGACAGCTTAGGAACAGAACCAGAATGATAGCATAATAATAATAATCCTTGCATTTGATATAGCTCCTTATCACATCTTCGAGACGTCTCAGAGCGCTTTAGGGAATATACTTTAAAGTGAATTGACTGTATATTTTGTGGGCGAAATCAATGTGAAGTCCCCCACTAGCATTGTGCTTCATATCCAGAGAAACCCACCATATGGTAGAAAGCATTAAATGAGCTGTCTCCTTCAGAATGGTTGTTCTGGGGGAATGGAAGTATTGCAGTTTTTGTCCAGTTCCCCCAAGGGCACTCGTTGCACTGATAAAGTGAAGCGATGACAGTTATTGATGGCCTCTAAGGAACTGTAAATAGCTTGAGCTTTCAAATCTCCAGGACCTCTCCCATAAGTGAATCCTCCGATGAATTCAGTCCCTCTTTAAGAAGAGGCTCTATTGCCTGGTATCTTGGAGCTATAACTATAATAATAATCCTCGCATTTGATACGGCGCCTTATCACGTCTTCGAGACATCTCAAAGCGCTTCAGAGAATACACTGTAAAGTGAATTGACTCTGTATTTTGTGGGCGAAACGCGGCAGCGAATTGCGCACAGCAGCGTCCCCACAAACAGTGGCGTAACGAGGAGGAACTAGTCCTGAAAATGAGAATGCGAGGTACATATCTTGTGCAGCTCCTCAGTGCTTGATAATCTGAGGTTACTGGGCTACATACTATTACCTCTGGTCTTCCTGATGTCTGCTGATGTAGGGGGTATGAGACTGTCTGATAGGAAGTCTGATGATGATTTGTAGCCTGGGGTCTCTTGACAGCGAGTGTTGGTTCTGTTGACTTGGGGCCTTTCCTGTGACCAGAGGATGGGGGATACACAGTCGTGTAAAATTTGCCCTCGAGCTTGTTTAGATTGCTTCAAGCAGAAATTTATCCAGAAGCATCATGAACCTTTCCTTTCCTAAAGGTAGGAGTCGAAGCTTGACACAACTATATTTCAACGTTGACAGCTACAAGATTAGAAAGCCCGTAACGCCTGCGCGTCCCATAGATCACGCTGCAAAGAGAGAGGCCCTGAACCCAGTGTCATAATAAACCTTGACGTCGCGGAGACCGGCTTTTAAGCTGTGTATTCCAGACCGACTCATTCAGATCCTCCCCTGCTCATCGCTCTAACTAAGCTTTTCACCTTCAACTTGGGCACGATTTACGACATGGGGCTACAGAGGAATGTTTGCTGAATTATTGTGTCTAGTTGCACGTAGCATTTCTCTTGCTTAGACGGAATGATACCATAAAGGTCCTGTGACGAACTTACAAGTGCCGTTTGGCAATGAAGTGATCCGATTTGTGACTTAGCCATAAGTGACTTAGCTTCGCTTGCCTTGAGAGACGTATCATCACGGGGAGTGGGGGAGGAGGATAAAGATATATTACACAATGTAGGCTAGGTACGAAACCTATTTCTCCTTGCCACTGTATAGCAAACTTAATTCGAGCCCCTTTTGCCTGAATGGGCCATTTCAGTTTCCCACATTAGCAGTCCTCAGGGTTCTCTGTGAGCACGATTACCAGTTACAAATGGTTTTGTGCTATACAATTTGTTTTGTACAGAAGGCGTTCTTTTAATCCAAAATGCTCCAGATTCAGGCTGGTTATAAATTTAGAAATCCCTTTGGCGTCGCAGCCTGTTGTTATTCTCCTTTCCCCAAACCACCTAACAAATGTTTTGCCTCGATTTGGATGTCCGCAGTGCACCAGTCAGACCAGTGAGTGCATGTTCCGAATCGACGCTGCGGCAATTAGAATCATAAAATCATTAGAATATTACAGCACAGAGGGAAGACATTTGGCCCATTGTGAGTGCCTGTGCCCGGCTCTTTGGAAGAACTACCCAATCAGTCTCACTCCCCCCTCCCCACTCCCCACCTCCCCCTCCTTCCACAAATGCTTGTAAATTTTTCCTTTTCCAGTCCCTACCCTCTAAGTCCCTTTTGAAACTTGTTATTGAATCTGTTTCCACCGACCCTTTCGGGCTGTGCGTTCCAGACCCTAACAACGCTTTGCAGGGAAAATTGCAGGGAAAATCACTGCAGGACATGACTCCATAGATGGATGACACTCCTGATCCCTATTTCAGTTGACCTTTGTTGGAAAGTGTGTGTGTGTGTGTGTGTGTGGTTATGCGCAGTTATTGTGCGAGGCCTGAATTGGGCTTTGGCTGTAACATCCCCTTCGATTGGACCTTCGAACACAGTATATAGTTTGGGGAACACGACATGTCAAGTGACTGCCAGGATGCGAACTAGATGGTTTTCTTTCTTTCTCCCAGCAAATGCTTATGTTCTTAACACAGGAGGTGCGGACAGTAGGAAGGAACCATTATTATTTTTTTCCCCTTGCTTGTACAGCATGGTACACTTCCAAACGCATTAGCGATCTGATTGAATCATGTGCTCGTATCCCAGGTGCTGACTGTGGTACGTGCACACTGACACACACACCTTTTTGCTTTGTGCCATTTGAAGTCTATTTGTCCTGTGTCTGTTGATTTTTGTTCCATTTCTCCCAGGCCCCCAACTCTTCCCCCTAAACCGCAGAAACTGAGGAAGTCTAGGCCGCGCTCCCAGTATAATCATAAGTTGTTTACTGGCGATATGGAGACCTTCATTCAGGTACTTGGTGCCAACACTGACAGTCTCTAAATGCTGAATGGAATGGTGGTTTCATGTGTCCTTTCCAAAACCCTCGCTAATTCTGTCTTCGCCTGGAGCTGTTGTGCAGCTCTCCTGGGTTTAGTATGCTGTCCGGCCAAAGACCAGATTATTACTGTGTGTACCCACTCCCGATCTCTCGGCTCAATTGATGCGTTTCTTGTAGCTGGGTCGTAATAAGGCAAAGGAGGCGATTCTCACTGCAGTGATGATCTTCTCTCCACTCGTGTAACTTAACAACTTAGCAAAGGGTAGGTCAAGCTTTGAAATTCAATGTCGCCAGTGGAAGCATCAGTGACCGTCAATGGGACATTTGGGCTTATTATGAAGGCAGGACAGGGGACATCAGTGTGTTTGAATATGTGGATAGAAAGAGAACATAACAACAACAACAAATTACACTTGTATAGTGGCCTTCATATTGGAAAGATAACCCACAGCCCACTGAACATCACTCACCGCCCAAACGTAGAGATGGAAGAATAGTTATTTGGGATCATTTGGATTAAGGATCCCAAAGGGCAGCTGGTATTGCATGGAACACTTGTCACACTGAGAGGAGCGGAGGGAAGAAAATTGGGTCAAGTAGACTTAAGTGAAGACTTTTGCAATTCCAGTTTTCACACCTGCAAAGATTCAGAAGTTATTCTGCTGTATATATACACCCCCCACCGTAACAATCTGTTCGTTCATCATTGATCAAATGTTTTTCTCATACTTAAATAAATATATACATATATAAAAAGGTTATTTCTCCTAAAATGTTAGCAATAATATGAAATCAGTGCTAAGTAGGGCAGGCACTGTGTTAAAACAGTTGACATTCTGTGCGACATGCAGAGAGAGAGGTAAATATGCTTCCATCTGTGACATTAAACTTCAAAAACCTGAGCTGCTTCCTTACAGGGTAGGTTGAATGAAGGCAACTTCATTGGAGATCAAACGTGCTTTGAAGTTAAATTTTTACCCTTCTGATTCATATTCTCAATTTGGATTCCCTGACTGACACGCAATCTTTAGTACTCTGGGTTTAATCTCAGTAAGGGGGTTCGTACTAGCTTTTCCAGCACACACACAGACACACACACACCTACACACACACAGCATCACTTGCTCACACGCTGACAAACGGACTATAATTGATCCGAAGCTGTACTCTATTTGGAGCTCAGGCTTCCTTGGGTAATGAATTATTCTTCTCCCCCTTTTCTCAAAACGCTGAACCTGCGATACAGCATACTAAGCCTTTGCTCAGCTTCAGACAGTCCAGAGTTGATAAAAGCTGCCATTGCATTTGAGCCTTTCCGATCTGTCCTGGCCTCTCCAGAAATGGGTGTGATTCAATGTTTTTGTTCCTGCTTCATCTCTTTTTTTCCCTTGCTTTGCTGCTTCTAACAGAGGAAGAAGAAATGCACGAACAAGAAATCAGGTACACATTGTAGAACATAGATTCTCAGGACTTTTCTGCTCAGGGTCCTCGTACCCTCAGGCATCTACCTTCTTCATTGCAGAGTTAACCCTCTGTCAATTGGAATAGTGTCTGGAAAAAAAGCATTGACAGGAAAACCTTTGATTTTGGGGGAGAACATAAAATGCAAAGACGTCGTACGAAATGCAAGGAACTTGTAATACATCAACTCCTTCCCCCAGCTCCCCGTTCCCTGACCTCCGCTTCACGCCCAGGTCCTCCCCATTTGACAGTGGGGTTGATACTGGGAGTAAACCACGCAAAGTTAGCACTCTGACATAATCTAAATGTTATTCCACTAAATCAAACGCAACATCTCCAGGTAAGTGCACATGGTCCAGGGAATCAAACACATCCATATATCCGTTAAATGAAAATACAAGGAACCTTAATAATAATCCTTAGATTTGGTACAGCACCTTTCGTGTCAGGAAGACGTCTCACAGGATATACAGTAAAGTGCAATGACTGTGTGTTTTGTGGGTGAATGCAACAGCCAATTTGCCCACAGCAATGTCCCATAAACAGTCTCTTTTCAGAATAGTGCCGTGGCCTAACATCTCGTCTGAAGGATGAGACATTGGCACCCCCAACAACGCAGCCACACCCAGCACTGCATTGGAGGGTCATCTTAGTCAATATAACATCCAAAACCTGACGTGGGGCTTGAACCCACAACCTTCTAATTCAGAGGCAAGAGTGCTACCATTGAGCCAGGCTGACACACTTAAATGCTTAGTTTCTGTGAACTAACCAACACCATTGAGAGTCCTGGCCTTCTCTTGCTATCCTCATAGGTAAATAAATTGGTGGTTAACACTTTGGGGCTTGGCTTAGGTCTATGGTTGACTAGGTGACGCATTTACCTGCTTCTTGCCTTTATTTCCACTTTTCTATACTTTGGCTGTGTGAAGATGTTTGCTCCTTGACCTGTTAAACACTGTTTTGACTTCTTTTTTTTAAAAAAAAGTCCAGTTTTGAAATGTCGAGGTATTCATAGTTGAGTATGAATACAGAGGTCTGACTGAAGCAATAATAAAAGTGGTGGAAGTGGAAGAAATTATGGCTGTCATTTTCTGAGACATATTGAGAATTTACATTGAGAATTACTGGACAGAAACCATTGGCTTTTCGAGCACAGCCCCATTTAGAGCGTTTACCTGTATACAGAACCAGCCATTGTCCAATCTGGCAGCACGAAAATGGGCTCACAAAGTTGTAAATGATTGGTTTCAAGTGCAGTTTATGGCTGCATATTTGTCCATAGAAATAAGCCAAACACTTGGAAAGGGTGTTTCACTGGCAAACCCCAACCTTTGAAAGATCTGTCCGTGAATATAATATGATATAATGTCTCATCACATTCCCACTACCTTCCACTGGTTCTAACTTAAAATAATTACTAATAAATGGCTGAACATTAGCTGGCAAATGCACCGAATAACTTCATCATAATAATAATAATCCTTGCATTTGATACACTGCCTTATCGTGTCTTCGAGACGTCTCAAAGCGCTTCACAGAATATTATGTAAAGTGACTTGACTGTATATTTTGTGTGCGAGAATGAAGCCAGAGTAGAGTTTGTGTAGATTGCACGAAAGGCCAAAGACCTTGGTACAGAGTTTATCCTCAAAATCCTGTCAGCTTGGCCAAGAGCTGAAACTAAAACTAAAAGCTGAACTCCATCTGTGAAGGAGCTGCTGTTGGATCATTTATCTAAAGAGCCAATTGGAGATTGGGCGCAGTTTGAAGAACGAAACCCATTAAGGAATGAAAGACGTCAACTCTCAACCTGTTGCCTAATAGCACTTACTGTACATCATTACTAAGCAGCAGGTGGAGCTTTTCACTGTCTTTGAAGGTTCCTAATTGTCTTAATTTTTCAAAACTGCGGCTAGCTGTCATTCCAGGGGTCTAATTGGGAAATAGCCAACAAGGCAGGGGGGCGGGGGTTGGCCCTGGAGCTCACTGGCAATTTCATAACCCTTTCGAAAGTAATGTAGAGCGTTAGCTTTCCCAGCACTAACATTGATGAGTTCAAATGTTATTTAAAAAAACAAAATCACAAGGTTTGTGTTGGGATTTTCTTTAAATTGGACTGAAACTCTTAACTGAGGCCCCGCTCCCTTGCGAGTTGGAAAACCTTCCACCGAGAAGACAACCTCACCTTTGGTCTTGAGCTAGCCAGCTTTAATTCCCAGTGCTGCGGATAGCAGTAACATCCACGCTGTCATTGGCTTAATGATCTCACTAGCTTCATTCCATCTTCAATTATAAACAGGGAATCTTTCACAAGACCAAGGAAGGGGAGGGGGCTGGGGAGAAACAGGGAGATAAAGGTTAGATCTGCTGTTTTTTGTGAAGGGAGGGGGGAAAGATTATTTGGTCTCCCAAGTTGTTTTCAGCTATTTGCTCCTTGGCAAAAGAATGCTATTGCCACTGGGATTGCCCTGTCCTGATGGAAGCAGTGAAGGCTGGAAAAACACAAGCATTATCGGAGATTCAGTAGATCATGTTGAAGGGAATGCTGTTTTTAGGCAATCTACAAAGGACTGACAGAAGATTCCAAGGATGCATGTGAATTCCCTTCTGAACAAGTTACAAAAGAAAAGCTCTTGCTATAGTAGATTGAACACGAAGTGGCTTAAATGGACCTAATTACCCTAATTTATCATTGGCTTCTTTCTGCTGCATTGGGCCTCTGACTCGGATTTCCAGAGACTAATTGGCATTAATATCAACTTATTTTAATTATTTGCTTGACTTAGTATGCAAACGGTGAACTGGGAATCCAAAATTCTTTCAGAACAGCAGAATAGTTATTGACAGAATTATAAAATTTAAGACAGCGTGTTCCTCTTGATAACAGAAGAAATTCCAAAGGCCTTTTTTGTGCATAAAAAATGAAGTACCTTAATTCGATCTTGTTAACTGCCTATTTTTGGCCCCAGATTAACTTTACTCTGCAAATTCCACCCCTCTGGTATGTGTTGAGATGAGCGTTATTTTACAGCTATTTGAGTTGGCACTAACAAGTCTGAAAGCTCATCTAACAAGGAGGAGGCATGTTGGTTTGGGAAGGATTCACAATGCAAAATGAATCCCTTTAGGAGTAAAATATTTGTTTTATCATACCCATAAATTTATGTCTCTTTGAGGCCATTGTTGCCAGATGTACATGCCACGACCACTTATCTCCAATGTGCTCAGACAGTCGTAGATTTCTGGTAATGGCACGTAGCAGCAGAGCATTGCACCCTTAGACGCACAGATACCCTGTAAGAGTTCAGATGTCTAGCCTCACAGGCGATAAACAGGTTACAAAGCTCTTAACTTCCTTGAATCAGTCTGCCACACTGCCAGAGCTACAGCTAGAAAAAACACCACGAGAAGGGATATGAGGGTTGGCGAGAGGAGGATTGAGGATTTGTTGAAACATATGTTTTTAAGGAAGCCACCGTTCAGAAAACAGTTCACAAAGGAATGGTGGTCCTCCACGTCTCTTATTATTGGCCAGTCAGACCAGAAAATCTGTGAGGAGGAGCAATCTATTTTCACTTGGGCCTTCTTTCCAAGACCTAACTGTAGGTTTGCTGACAGCTCTGGCTTCGTCTTGCACTTCTGCCACTTCTCATTTGGTCTTTTCCCTTGAACTGTTTTGTCATGGTTGCCTGAGTTAGTTTTAAGCCTTCGTTGCTCAATGTCCTGATGTTTGTTCTCTTCCTTTAAGGATTCTGGACAAGCCATCCCCCTGGTGGTGGAAAGCTGTATCCGATTTATCAATTTATATGGTAAACCCATCTGAACATAATAATAATAATAATAATGATAATAATAATCCTTGCGTTTGATATTGCACCTTATCACATCTTCAAGACGTCTCAAAACGCTTCACAGAATATACTGTACAGTAAATTGACTGTGATGTTATTTGACCAAATGTAGTGTTGTGGAAGAAGTCTGTGATTTCCCCCAAAACCCCTCAAGATCACTTTGTTTGTGCCTTCTATAAAACAAGTATAATTGTTTTCACAGTCGTTGGTGCCATGTGTTGGGAACATTTGATCTGAAAACATTTGAGCTGTTTTGCTCACTTAACATAATTATAGAATCTTTAATTAGTTAGAAGAACAATATTTGGTATCACATAAACATGTTCATAGTCTTAAATACTGGTGTCAAACAACACCGTTAAAATTTTATGTCTCCTTCGAAAACATTCGAACTTTCCTGACTCTCTCTCTCTCTCTAAAGTTATTGATAATAATAAGAATAATATGTTAAAATGTCACTTGTATCCTAGGTTTACAACAACAAGGTATCTTCCGTGTTCCTGGCTCACAGAGTGAAGTAAATGATATCAAGAATGCATTTGAGAGAGGTCAGTGAGGATCCTTTCATCTCCACTTGGTTTAGTTAATTGTTCAAGGGAAGAAATCCTGAAATTGAGTGTGTGTGTGTGTATGTGATGGGGGGAGGGAGGTGGGGGGAGATTCAAGGGGTTGGGTGGTGGGGGAAGGGGGTAAATTCAGAACAAATCTGGGGTGACACTACTCCAGTGCGTAGGCAGTAAATTTATGGAACAGGCTCCCTAGGAAAACGGTGGAAGCAGAAAGTGTTGTTCGTTTCAAGAACAGATTAGATAGATTTCTGCTAGAATATAATATCTCAGGATACAGTAATATAAGTTGTTCTTCTTTCGTCAGCAAGTTCTTATGTTCTTATGCGATGAGAAGCAAGAGGTATAAATCAGGTCTTGCATCGCGTCTACTGCCCGTATCGCTTCACTTTCAGTAGTACAAACAGGGTGTCAGATAACAATTGGTAATCTTTTATAGGAAGAAAAAGTTGGTATCCTTCTCAAGATCTGGCAGCTTAAACAAGTGAAGCACGAACGACACAGGCTCTGTTCACGCTGTAAAATCTCAGTATATTAAATTTGTGCATTCTTTTATACTAGGTGAGGACCCTCTTGCAGACGACCACAATGAACATGATATCAATTCTGTGGCTGGAGTGCTAAAGCTGTACTTCCGAGGGCTGGAAAATCCACTCTTCCCTAAGGAAATGTTCCTGGATCTAATCTCCAGTGTTAGTAAGTGTTCCGCATTGACTGGGCTGTGCTGCTTGCATATCGCATTGGATGGGAGCCAAGCAGCGAACAGCTAAGGCGAGAATTGGGAGTAACTCGGTGGACACGAGGACAATATGTTTCTGTACTTCATGTGAGGAGAACGTCCTTGTCATCAGTGAGCAAACAACTCAAACATGTACAATTAAAAGGAGAAAATGTTCTTTATTTCAAGAACAAATTAGATAGATTTCTGCTAGAAAATAATATCTCGGGGATACAGTAGATAGTTTGGGGACACGACATGTCAAGCGACTGCCAGGATGGTGGAAGGCGAACTTGATAGACCTATCGTAAAACTATCCATTTTTAGCTCCTCGTCCATGGACATGTTAACAATCCTATGGCAGCAGTTAGGAATTTAGCGATGAAAAAGTTTTGAATCATAGAAATTTTACAGCGCTGAAGAAGGCCATTCAGCTGATTATATCCGTGCCCTACCTTGCTCTATACCCTTAAAGGAGGAGGTGGATAGATATTTGTTAGGTCAGGGTATCAAAGGATATGGAGCAACAGCAGGTAATTGAAGCTGAGGTACAGATTAGCTATGATCTTGTAGAATGGCAAAACAGGCTCAAGGGGCTGAATGGCCTACTCCTGTTTCTATGTTGGCCTATCAGTCAATCCACCAATTTGGAAACGTGTGGGATCAGAACCCTTGCTCCTGCCGGGTTTCTGCATGTTGTCAACCGTTGGCTGTCCGAAATAAACAGTTGTTCTCCTCCTTATGCTCCCTCCCCAAATCTATCATCTTCTACGCCTTGTTGCTACGTTCTTCATTGAAAATTGAGCTGTTCACCAACGGTGCAGGAATCACCGTGATTTATGAAAGCCCTCAGCAAAATGTCAACGACTTCATTTTCTAGGATCTGGGGAGTGAACCCCCTCTTCCTCCACCCCCTCCCCGACGCCGCCATTCTGCACCTTGAAGGAGATATGCTGCCACCTTGTGGTGTCGTGAAAAGTTAACCAAAGTCAATAGATATAAGTGCCCAAGTTTCTCATCCATTTATTTGTGCATCTTGTTGTGAACTAGACCCGATTAGTCAAGCCGGAATTCTCAGCAATGGTTCTCTGCAACCGTCAAAGGCAGCCAAGTAAACGTAATCCACAGTAAAATAGGTTTTATTGGCTATTTTGCCTTCAAAATACTCGGTCAATTAACTATACAATATATTATGTGAAGTGCTTTGAGACGTCTCAATGGACAGCATTATAGTACCTAGTCTGAGTGGATGCTCACAAGAGAGAAAGTCAGAAAATTGGGAGTTGGGGAAAGTTTCTCTGCAATAAATCTGTGAAGTGGGAGTGTGGCGATTGAGCCGTTAATAGGAGGCGATGCTTAACTCCCAACACTGTCTGTCATGACACACAGACAGATGAGTATTTGAAGAAACTAAAGCGACTCTCAAACAAGAGATGTTAAACGAGGCAATCGGTATTCAGAACGTGTGCGCTCGAGGGTTTGGGGGCTGGACGCTGTGGGTATGATTGTCGGTGCACAAAAGTGTCGAGGCTCTTGTCAACAATGAGTCAATTGTGCCCTGCATTCACTTTCCAGATCCCGAGCAGATTGTATTGTTGAGAAGCAGCTGCATTGAACGTTGGGCACAGACTCCAGCTTTATCGCATCAGCCCCTTTGACACAGTGCGTTTGTCACATAGCTCCCTGGGTGAAAACAAATTGCCTTTTAAGCAAGATCGAGCACGAGAATCACTGAAACGAAGGGCCGGATTCCCAGTTCATTTTGGAAATAGCTGGTTTCCAAAACCCCAGATACTGGGCGGTTTATCCTCTCCGTCTGTCTGACGGCACTTTCAGTCTCTACCATAGTTTCCTATGTTTGCGTGACCTCGCTCACAGCAGCTTGCCACGCGAGGAAAGCTCAGTACTCTTTGATTTTAATTGGTTTCTCCTTACAATCAACCTTCTGCCTCCAAACGACATCAGTCCTTTTAACAAGCAACGCTGCCTGTTGGCGAATAACTTGTTGGTTGTGCAAAGGTTTCCATGTAAAAGTCAGGTTAGTTTCTACGTGGGAAGTGAACGACAGATGGTGAGAAGTTATTACAGGCTGTGCTGCTCCCAGATGGTGTCAGATTATATGACTGCTTTCAGCGTCATCTTTACAACATGATTAATGCCTCAATGAGGTGTCCTTTCATTGAGTTTCAGCAAACACTGGTATTCAGGTCAAGACATCTTCCCATTCACTCTAAGCAACACTCCAAACACACCCAACACACTCAAGCCAACTCCTTCTCCTCCTCCAACATGCCCCAACAAATTCTCCTCCAGAAAACAACAGCAAATTGTGCTGTATGCAGATCATAGCCTGGAACCCATCCCTGTCTAGACTCCTCTCTGCTCCTGAGAGAGCCCGACAGCGAGACTCCGTGAGACGAGAAAGTTACACGTCACTGTCAGAAGCCACACACTATGAAGTCCTGTAGCTTAACGGACAGAGCACTTGCCAGGCAAACGAGACGACCTGCGTTCAATTCCCGGGCAGGGCGAAATGTTGGGCAAGATCCATTACTCCACATGCCTCTGTTTACCTGGTAGTAGTGGGAATCAGGTTGTTAGTCGATTAGCGGATCGCTTTTCCGATGCTCCGGCCTGCTTCGCGTCCCCCAGCCTCACTCGCCCCACTATCGGCGGGCGAGCCTTCCGCCATTCTGCCCCCACCCTCTGAAACTCCATCCCGCAGTCCCTCCATCTCGCCCCCTCCCTCGCCACCTTTAAGACCCATCTCTACACCCCACTCTTCGACCGTGCTTTCGATCTCCCTGCTTCCCCCCACCCCCACACACCCCGACCCCCAGCTCGGGTCTATGACTCTGTCTGTCCAGCGCCTTGTGACGTCCTCCCGACGTGAAATGCGCTATACAAATGTCATATTGTTGTTGTAATATTCCCTTAAAAAAATTATAATAATAATAATTTGGTCACTCAATCCACGATTGTTTGTGAGACACTGCTGTCACATTTCGCCCACAAAATACACAGTCAATTCACCTTACAGTATATCCTGTGAAGCTCTACGCGACGTCTCGAAGACGCGATATCAGATGCAAGGGTTATTATTATTAATGTTGTTATTATTGCATTTGTCCTGTGACGAGACAGGGAAAGAAGGGACACCGAATCATTTCTCCCTTTCCTCTTACTTTCACAGAGATCGAAAACAACGCGGAGAGGACCCACCGCATCCAGCAGATTGTCAATGCCCTCTCAAGGACTGTAATCATCGTCATCAGATATCTCTTCGCCTTCCTCAACCAGTAAGTCCATCCCGCAGCTTCTCTCTATCTATTGTTCCGCAGACTGGATACTGAAATTTCTGTTCTGTACCGCTTGGTACTGTGTTGCCTGAGGCCATTTATCTACTTGGTCATTCGAGTGCCCTGTTTCAAAGCGTTCCATTAATTCGGCTGAACAGGACCAGAGTGTTCTGGAATGAAATTTCAGGCACAGAGTAATAACCATCATTCATTTGAAGATGCATTAATTTGGTGACTAAGAGATGGAGATGGTTCGAAGTTGATTAATGGCCAATTCTATGCTGATTGCTCAGTGTGTAAAATGCGGGTTGACTCTACCCCTGCAAATTTCTGAAACGTAAGCTGGATACAAGAATAAGAGCCAATGTTCTTACCCCCTGCCCCGCTAACCCCCACCCCACAAACACACACACATTTAATCTGTATCTCAGGATAAGGGGGCATTGAATATTAACGTTTCCAGTGAATTGCTTCAGATCGTGATCGCACCACTCTTATCCTGACCCTGTCTGCCGTCAAACTGATCTCTTAGATCTCCAGAGCTGCTGGAGAGGAAACACTAAACTCTTGTGCCTTGGGGACCTGGTTGCCACATCTCCAATATTCACCACCCCTTTCCCCCTGATCCCCAATGCAAACAGCTGGAGCGAGACTGAGACACATCGCTCAGGGAGAGTGAAGTGTTTTTAACTCTGTACCTAACCCATGCAATACTTGACCTTGGAATGATTGACAAGAGAAATTAATGGAACTTATGTAACCTGCATTAATTATGCCTGGTCGATGTGTATTTGCTGGTGTGGTCAAGCGGGAGCTTTATTTTGCACCGGACCCATGATGAAGACTGACACACTGGAAAATCCGAATCTTTGTGTGTTTCAGCCTCTCACAGTACAGCGACGAGAACATGATGGATCCCTACAACCTCGCCATCTGCTTTGGGCCAACCCTGATGCCAATACCCGATGGGCAGGATCCAGTCTCGTGCCAGGCTCACGTCAACGAGGTCATCAAAACCATCATCATTAACCACGAAGGCATCTTCCCCAGTTCCAGAGAGGTCGATGGGCCGGTGTACGAGAAGTGCATGACTGGAGGAGAGGAGTACTGGTGAGGACGATGCCTTCCTGTTGCAATGACAACAGCTCCTATTGACGTAGCGCCCTTCACGTGGGGTAGCGTCCCAGAGCGCTTGACAAGCGAGAGGACCTGGGTTCGATTCCCGGGCAGGGTGAAACGTTGGGCAAGTTTCCTTACTCCACACGCCTCTGTTTACTTAGCATTAAGTAGGAACCCAGTTGTTTAGTCGATTGGGGGATCCCTTTAAAAAATAATAATAATTATAAGAATTTGGCCACTCAATCCACAACTATTTGTGGGAAGCTGCTGTGCTCAATTGGCTGCAGGCATTTCGCCCACAAAATATACAGTAAATTTATTTTACAGTGTATCCTGTGAAGCGCTTTGAGACGTCTCAAAGACGTGATAAGGCGCTATATCAAATGCAAGGATTATTATTGATATCCGTCTTGATATTGTGTCCTTTACAGTGACAGCCCTCACAGTGAGCCTGGCACTATTGATGAAGTAGATCACGACAATGGAACTGAACCACACACCAGTGATGATGGTAAGTGCCAGGCTGATCATTTGTGATGTGATGTCTGACTAGATAACACTGAGAGTCACTAACCCTACACACCTCTCAATACAGCATCAGGGAGAGGAAGGATCAAGACAAAATAAACTTTCGATGTCGGGATAATCAGCTGCACGGTATAATGTATAATCTAGTGATTGAGAACATAAGAACATAAGAATTAGGAGCAGGAGTAGGCCACTCGGCCCTTCGAGTCTGCCCCGCCATTTGATAAGATCAGGGCTGATCTTCAGACTTAACTCTATTTACCTGCACTATCCCCATATCCCCTAATCCCTCTATTTTTTAAAAATCTATCAGTCTCAGCCTTGAAAGTGTTCAAGGACTGAGCATCTACAGCCTTCTGGGGTAGTGATTCCATAAATTCTGAGTGAAGAAATGTTTCCTCAACTCTGTTCTAAAAAGCTGACCCCTAATTTTAAGACCGTGACCCCTGGTTATAGATTCTCCTACCAGGGGGAACAGTCCCTCAGTGTCTACTTTATCAGCCCTTTAAGAATTTTATATGTTTCAATACGATCTCCCCTAATTCTTCTGTACTCTAGAGAATATAGCCCTAGTTTATTCAGCCTATCCTCATAGGTCAGACCCCTCATCCCAGGAACTAACCAAGTGAATCTACACTGCACCCTCTCTTGGGCAAGTATGTCCTTTTTTTAAATAAGGAGACCAAAGCTGCACACAATACTCTGTGTGCGGTCTCACCAAAGCCCTATACAGTTGCAGCAAGACTTCCCTACTCTTGTACTCTAAACCTTTTGAAATGAACGCTAACATGCTGTTCGCCTTCTTCGTTGCTGCTGCACCTGCAAACTAACTTTTTGAGACTGGTGTACAAGGACACCCAAATCCCTCTGAACACTATCACTATCTAATCTCTCCCCCTCTAGAAAATAATCTGTTTTTCTATTTTTTCTACCTAGGTGAATAACTTCACACTTCACATTAAATTCCATCTGCCACCTACTCGCCCACACCCCTCACCTATCTATACCCCGTTGCACTCTTTTTGCATCATCCTCATCAGAGCTTACTCTCCCACCTAGTTTAGTGTCATCCGCGAATTTAGATACGTTACATTCAATGTCCTCGTCTAGATCATTGACTGGGATGCTATTCATAAACTAAAGTGTTAGCGGAAAACTGCTGAGGATGTTCAGTATTCCTAGCTTGGCTGCTTTCGGGCGAATAATCTGGAATCGATCAAGTCCCTTTTGGCTACAATTGACCCTGTTAAAGTATCTCACCCTGTGATGTGTGTATATTATTGTAGGAGCTGCTTAGAGCAGTTTTGTGTGTGTGTGTGTGTGCGTGTGCGTATTCCCATGTGTTTGTATGTTTGTGTCAGAGCACCACTGCTGGATTTAATGTAGCACGAAACACAAAGGGATTGAAGCGAGGACTGGCTGGGGATGAAGGACTATTACACTTGTCCTCCCGCAATCTCTGAAATGTCAGCTTTTCGAGTGCAATAATCACATAACACTGCTTCAGGCACTGCAAACATCAGAGCAGATGAATAGACTAAAACGTCTTCATCAAAGCAGTAAATGACTGTCAAGGGTAATCAGGGTTATCAGGAGAAAAGACACAAGGTTTTTTGTTTCCAGCCTTCATTCGATTACGTTTGGGATCCATTTTGTTGCTGCTTTTAAAACCTTCAGCATTGCAACATGTTTCTAGTGTGGGGAACCACATGGTGAAGTCATTTATCATTTTGGCTTTTCTGAGATGGGTTTGAAACCGCAGAGATGGAAGCGAGAGCGAGAGAGAGAGAGAGCAAAGTCTTATTTTTGTTGCCTGTAAGAGTCCTATTTGAAATGACATAGGAGCAGTCATACACAGTCTCCAGATAATGGCTGATAATGTGAAAAATTGGAAATGTCATGTTCGTGCAACACACTGGAGCCCTGTTTGTGGGGGACGCTGCTGTGCGCAATTGGCTGTCGGTTTTGTCCACAAATATATACAGTCAATTCACTATACAGTATATTCTGTGAAGCGCTTTGAGACGTCTAGAAGACGTGATAAGGCGCTATATCGAATGCAGGGATTATTATTATTATTACAATGCAAAGGGAGCTTCAAGCTTCACCCTAAAACTCAATTCAGAGACGGTCCATTATTGAAAGTTAATTCTGTGCTTTTTATAGCTTTTTACTGGAATTTTACAGTTTCCGAATTTACTCCTTTCAAACGATCATCCTGAATTTGTAATCCATAAGGTGCAACACTAATGGCAAACTATTCATGAAGGTCTAAGATTTCTGCCTTGAAGTGCGGAGACTGATGATATTAATTAATAATTCAGGTCAATGTGTAGTATTGTGATGAAATTGGATTCAAGGAGAGAAATCTCGGTCTACTGAAGATCTGCTTTGGCAACGGGATGGAATTTCATCCCAGAATGACAAGGTTTCAGGGATATAGGCAACCCAGTGCGATTTTATTTCCTAGGCCATTGAAGGACCCAGTCTCCTTCTGCGGTCAAGAATGTAATAGACACTGGAGTAGTAGAAGATAGTAATAATCTTCAAATGAGTTTAACGCACCCAACTCAAGATTTCTTCACTTGATTTAGCTGATGTTTTGGGTCGACTGCATGCAAAGGCACTTTCGTCTCCAGTCTTAAAGGGCATGAAATTGAACCAAAACAAAATAGAAAAATATTTCCTCCAGAGAAATGACTACTAGGGCTCAAGTGTGAAGATTAATGGCCTTATGTTGTGTTTGCTCATTTTGTAGAGATTGAGCAGATTGAAGCCATAGCTAAATTCGACTATGTTGGACGCACACCAAGGGAACTGTCCTTCAAGAAAGGAGCATCTCTACTGCTATATCACCGAGCTTCTGAGGATTGGTGGGAGGGGAGGCACAATGGAGTGGATGGCCTGATACCTCATCAGTACATTGTGGTACAAGATATGTAAGTACGCATTGTCTGAGTCCACATACAAAAACAAAGTGACTGTTTCAGCCACTTAAAGAGGGATGGCTCCAGTTGAAAGTGTTAATGTTATTTTCCTGGATCGTTCACCGTTGTTGTCAATAGATCGGTGCAATGAATATGCTATTGTGGCATTGGGTGACGCAGTGAGTTCGAATACTTTTACCTCTGACACAGTCACCACACGTCACATGTTTCATTGATAGTTGCACTTAGTAGTGAGATCTATTCATTTGTGGACAGAATGTCTTTTCTGTAATCAGGAAGCTACTTTGTGGACACCAGCAGTTTTATCAATATGGTGTGGACATTCAGCATAAAAGGTTATGCTACAGCTCACTAGTCAGGGGTCGATTCGCCAAGCAACTGGTGCTACCAACCTTGCCGGTAAAATGACTTACTCTCTTCCCCATGCAGGGATGATGCCTTTTCAGACAGCCTGAGCCAGAAAGCAGACAGTGAGGCCAGCAGTGGGCCTCTTCTCGATGACAAGGCCTCGTCAAAGAACGACTTGCAGTCCCCGACCGACCACTTGGCAGAGTTTAGCTTTGGAGGGAATATGGGCAGGTGAGGAACGGTTTGCATTGTGTGTGGATTTTACCACCCGCGTGGAACAGTGGCTGGAGGCTATTCCTCTTGAAGGTTCTTGGAGGAGGAACCGTGGCTGCCATAATGGGCCGACGGGTAAATGTACTATATAATGCGATCCTCACTCCCACAAGCCAGGAAGAAACCCAGGATTGATTCCCGGTGTGGTCTGAGTTAGCTCAGCTCAGCTCAGCTGAGCAATCATTGGAATGTTACCTGAAGAAGGGAAAATCAGCCCGGTTTCTGCTTCGGATCGTTCTTATTTTGTTCGTTTTAAGCTACTGAAAAAAAAACAAGAGTTATGAAAATGTTCAGCCCGTCAATCAGGGCCCGACGGAGAAAGACTGGTTAATGTTTAATGTTTGACTTTTTAACGGCGCTGAAACAATGGGTTTAAGAAGCCACTTTACAGGATTGAGCAAAAAAAAACATATTTTTTGCAAAAAATATGTATAATCATTAACTGTATACAAATAGAGGAATAGGCGCGTGTGTTTGCTAGTTGGATAAAACCAATGGAAAAAAAAACAGGCACTAAAAAGGACATCTTTAAATTTACCAGCAACTATTTGCTTCCTACAATCTGCAAGCGTTATACACTTAAAATCCTCTTTCTTTGCAATTTTCTCCTTCGACTTCCAATTTTCTCCACTCCACTTCCTCCTTTTTATTTCTTATTTCTCCTGGGATGTGGTTCCACAGGTTCCAGATGGATATCGTCAACCCAAGTGGCCATTCTTCAATGCTTGAGACTTGTCAATGAGCGTCACAGACTATTCGACCCTCCCGTTCCCTACCAGACTTTTCCCTCTCTTTGAGCCTCATCAGGCAATGCCTTTACCCAATAGTTCATCAGTGGAGAGACATACCCAATGCCCTACTCCGACCCAAAGTACTTAACACGGTAATTTGTTTGCTTTATGTAGGGTGCGTTTGAGGTCAGACGGGGCTGCAATTCAGCGGCGTCGCAGTGGTGGTGACGCACACAGCCCGGTAAGGGGATCCGGGTCATGTATAGACACTCCGCCGCGAGCTGCCGCCTGCCCGAGCAGCCCCCATAAATTCACCGTCAACAGGGGGAGGATGGAGAGCCCCGAAAAGCGACGGCTGGCCACCTTCGGGAGCGCTGGCAGCATCAATTATCCAGACCGGAAGAACCTAGTAGACAGCCATCCCGTGAGGCAGATGTCATTGTGCACCCGCCATAGTAGTCTGGGAGACCACAAGACCCTGGAGGCCGAGGCACTGGCCGAGGTAATGAGATCTGTGCAACACAGTGCAGTAGATAAATAGAACGACTGTGCAGCCAGCTGTTGAAACCTCGCAGTTTGTAGGAAGGTGGGAAGAATGTGGAAGGAAGGGAAGACTGAGGGAGATAAGGGTCACTATCTTGAGGAAGAATAATGAGTGGAGAGTAAGAGATGGCGAGCAGTTTGGATTTCAACTTGGTGCCCATTCTGATATGCTCTTGTCCCATTGTCCATTATTCCACACACCCATGCCATCGCTCTTCCCTTCATGCCCTCTTCCTCTATCCCCGCCTCCCCATGCCTGCTCTCAACTCATGCCTCTGTCTCCCCTTGATTCTACTCCTTCCTCTCAGATGTATCCCTCCATCTTTCCTTCCTGATGCTACATCGCTTACTGTCCTTGTCATGCCCGAACCCTTTGTCCCGTAAATCACCGAGTTTTTGTGGTTTCGGGATTTTATTACGGGGATGTGTTTCATAAATAGAAATAAAAGCCATGTTTACAATTCCTCTTACAAACAGAAGGGGAATCTCAACCACCCGTCATTTTTATGAAACGAACGTCTAGTTAACAGGTCTGAAATACCCTTCGAAGTGTTTTCCGAGTTCTGTACCGCCAACGGAGTAACTGAGAAATGAATAAAACAGAGGTGAGTAACTCCGCAATGGGCTTTTTCGGTGCGGAAATTGAGCGTCTCCCAATTTTGTTTTGAACAGGACATCGAGAAGACTATGAACACGGCCTTAAACGAACTACGCGAACTGGAGAGGCAGAACACTGTGAAGCAAGCCCCCGACGTGGTCCTGGACACCCTGGAGCAGATGAAAAACCCTGCATTGGGGGCCGTGAACTCCGAACCAGCGAGCCCGCTGCACACCATCATGATCCGAGACCCGGACGCCGCCATGAGGCGCAGTTCCAGTTCCTCCAGCGAGATGATGACCACCTTCAAGCCAGCGTTGTCAGCCAGACTGGCCGGATCTCAGCTCAGGCCCCCACCCATGAGGCCCGTCAGGCCTGTGATCCAACACCGCTCGAGCAGTAGCAGTAGCTCTGGCGTGGGAAGCCCAGCAGTGACTCCCACCGAGAAGATATTTCCGAACAGCACATCGGACAAGTCGGGCACCATGTGATAAATAACACCCCCACCCCCTGCGCCCCCTGGGATCACTACTCCCTCTTCACGGAGGAGACCTACTTGGGCCTGTTTTCCTAGGAGAGCTTGCCAAGGTCTCGGGACTTTTCTCCCAAGTCTGGAGCACCACTTAGAACACGAGAAGGAACTTCCGAAATTATAATAAGAAACATTTTTGTCCTTTTTAATTGTGATGACAAATGTACATCATCGCCCCAGTGGTTGATCATTAACAAATCAGCACTGGAGAACGAACACGCAGGCACACGGACACGCACACGCACACACACAAACACGTGAAAAAGTCTTGATTTACAGGGTTACCTCAGAAAATTACCTTTACTTCTGTAGGTCCTCGCATGCTGCCAATCGAGCAATACAAGAAGAGCCCTGGGAATATATTCTGCCCGAGACGGCAGAAAGAAAAGACAGGGGGAAATGAAACAAGGAGCATGCAATAGTTTTTGCCAACTATTGATGATGAGATTTAAATGTATCTGCTGGGACATCGTCCTTTTCTGCTGACTTGAGTTATTTGTCCATTTGGAAGATTTCACCGCTCAAACCGACACCTCTTGGCTGTCAATTTCAACGCTGTATATAGACAAGGACAAAACCTTCAGCTTGTACTGAGCGGAAAAGAAATATAAATATTGTAGCCCAGTATTATCAGATTAATATTAAATAAATAATGGAGTTGTTCTTAATGCAGGTAACAGTAATATGGGATTTAGACCAAACAGCGTATGTAAAGATATGTAGCTTAACTTATCCAACTTTTTTTGATTGATTGATATAGGTTTTTTTTGTAAGAAAATGTCTTAATGTACAAAGTGTCACTAAAACAGACAAAGGGACGACATAACATTTAACGTGACATTTCATTATCTCTCTTGGTAACTGCACGTTGACATTAGGGTCTTGCCTTCAGTTTTTGGGGTGATTTCGTTAGGTTGGAAGGATTTGATGTGTTTTTCACCCTCCCAATTGAATATCATTGCTTGCCCAACATGTCCTATTGTATTAAATTGATCTGACAAAGGAACCTCTATCACTGAAAGTGATGCAGAGATTGATATTGGAAATTATACCCAACTTACCAAGGCTATGCCATGTCTAGTTACAATTGTGTTCTTTGCTCGGTCGTACATCTCTGTGTGTATATACAGGTGTGTACAGAGTAATCCAATTCAGATCTGGGCAATTTCAACATATACGTTCCTCTGGATAAATCCTTTTCAACTTTTTAATTAAGTTTCTTTCCTATTTGGAGATTCGGGATCAGTTGCAGTGGAACTTTGGGCTGTCAGACTCAAAGCTTAAATCCTGTCAGTGCTTTTAAAGCCAGACAATTTTGCATTTTTTTCAACAAAACCAAAATATTGACTCTCATCCTCGTTTTCGGAAATTGTAAGTCGCACGAAAGGGTTTGCAGGAGTGGCCTGTTTCACAAAGAACAGTGGGGTGGTTTTTTTGTTTGCCCCTTGTGGCTTACAAGTCACCGATTTCCCCATTACTATTGACATCACCAGTTGCACATGCCCACCTTGGTTAGAGTCAGTGACTCTTGGAGCCCAGTGGGCGATGCAAAGCTGCCATATCACTCGACCGGTCAGTCTTCGAGCTTGAACCCAGAGTGTGTCATTAGGCTATTCAACTCATTGAAATCATAGTAAGAGCAAGTCCTACTCAAGCCATGCCCTCAATTGGCATTGACACATGCCCATTTTCCATTACGATTGACTGGATGATGGGAATTGGGTTGCCATTGGTATTGGGAACCCTGATTGATTTTTTTTAAATTCCTACCCTTCCCTTGCCTCCCTCGCCCAGGGAATCTGATGGGCACTGAGCCTGGGACCATCCCAATAGGTATACGAGAATCGTTTTCATTTTCAAATGATTCTAAACTCTGCCGCCCATGGCCTCACTCTACCAGGCCCCCCGTTCCCTTTACCCCGGTTCTTTGCAGTCTCCACTGGCCCCTTTGTTACAGAATGGATGGATTTCAAGATCCTCACTCTCACTTTGAAATGTCTTCGTGCCCTGCCACCTCTTTACCTCTCCAATCTGCTCACTTGCCACCCCTTTACCCCCACCTACCACGGCCTGTGCGGAATTAGCCTCTGCTGCACAATTGACAGCCGTACTTTAAGCTACTATGCCCTAAGGTCTCCGGGACACTACCCCGTGTGAAGGGCCCCGTATCAATGCAAGTTGCTGTCGTCGAACTGCTTGCCGTAATCCCTCCTTCTCGTTCCCTCTCTGCTCGTCTTCAAATCACGCCTGAAGACTCTCCTTTGACCGTGCCTTCGGTCACCTTACCCCCTCCCTCCCCCACCCCCTTCCAGCTCAGTAGCAAGCCACAGCACTGTTAAGCCTCCACGATGCTACCTGGGTTGAAGGGTGCTATATAAATGCAAGTTGCTTTTGTTGTGGGACTCTCTTTAGCAGAACGTGTCCACAGATGTTGCCATTATGGGTTGCCACTGGTTTTAATTGTCCTCTGATCTTTATCTCTCCTTCCACTTCCCTCCCCCTGGGCTCCGCTGACCAACCTTATTCTTTCGTGCGACATTACACGTGTTTCTGATACATCACACGTGGAATACGGACACTTTTGACAACGGAAAAAGGGTTTTGTGAAGACTGCCTGCTTTTAGTAAGAATTCTCATCAGTTCTGGACTGTTAGACCCCGAAAAAGACTGCACTGTGCCCTATTATTAAATTGCACTAGTCTTTCAAATACAGTATCTTCATAGCTGACCCTTCTCTGAGAAGCCCTTTGCACTTTACACCTACGTCCAGTATTTTACAGTTAGTGGTCTTGTTAACCCCATCAGCTGTCTCGTTTTGCTGCCAGTATGAATTCTGCCCTCTGCCCCATTTCCCTTCTTCCTCTAATGTTTCCCGAGCATCTCCCGACGTCCCTTGTTGAGATCAGACCAGAACCGTTAAGCTCACCTTCTCTTTTCTGAGTAAATCTGCTTGAGTTTCCAGTTTCTAGCATGCAGAGTTTTTATTTTCTTCTGTATGGACCCCAATGTACCAATGGTGTGCTTTCTGAAGGGGATCCCTTTGCACTGAAGGCCCACAATATAAAATAAGTGTAAGCTGCTCTTATCTGATACCCAGCAACCCAACAGATTGAATTCCCCCAAAATGACCCCCATATTATATTCGATGCTGGAATAGGCAGTTGCATTTTACCAGAATGCCAGAAACTGAAGGGGTGAAATAATGAAGAATTTCAGTAGTTTTTTTTTAATCTTGTTTATTAAGGAGTACTTAAGATCTTTCTTTCATGAATCGCTCCAACCTGTTATTCCTCTCTCTCGCCGTTTTGATGTGTTCTGACTCTCTTCATTGTGGTAAAGCCTTTCACTGACTCGTGATATGATTTCTTCCCCCCGAAACATCCATTTTTTCTTGTGATTCAGGCAGCAATGTAAGTTTTGAGAAACCATTAACCTGGGATGTGAGGGAAAGTCAAACTGATTCAACGGGCAGTACTTTGAGGCTGTTTTGGACTGTGTTAAGTAGAGACTTAGGTTGCGATTGACTTGTGCTCATCTTGGCCTGGCCTTTGATCCTGGCCCTGTTGGGTTGAACGTGGTGAAATGCTGCATTTCTTATCATCCTCACTATGATATAAGCACAAAATGCATTAAGGTGTAATTTAATAATTAATTAAATAAAACCAGGAACAAACAAGGACACGGGCCTTGTTCTGTAGCTCTGACTTACAGGCTGCCCATGCCTTGAGATTCAGTCGATCCGCAGGGAAACTGGAGTGACACAAAGACATGTCACATTTCCTCTTCGCCTCCAGAGACTGGATTTTAGAACTGCTTTCAGCGTCCCGAGCCTCTGTTACTCCGCAGCCAGGTGTGTTGAGAGGTCAGCCGTGTGTCTGTCCGCACGGGCCATTAATGTGAAGATCTGCAGCCAGAAAATAGAACCATCGAGCAAGTGCAGCTCAAGGATGCACAGGTGTCACTCATCTGTGATGCCGCGAAATAGCCGGAGCTAAACCTACGACAGCGGCAATCTCAAGGAACCGCAGAACTCACTCCCTTCCGTTCGAAGCAGCTATTCAAGTGTCCCGCAACATGAGAGCGGCGTAAGGATTAAATAGCGATGGAGAAGGGGCAGGCTCTTGTCCATTCAGGCAGCGTACAGTGCTTCTGCCTTTTAATGAAGCTGTGTTATAAGAGGGGAAAGTTGAGTCCGATTAAAATCAATCGATGTCAAGACACATCGCAACTTTTAAAACACAAAATGCTTTGACGTAAAGTGACTCGTTTATGTAATTGGACTCAGAATAGCGTCTGAGAGTACAATGCACGCAGATCAAGTACGATTCCCTTCACGCAACAGTTTTATTTGAAGCATCTCTTGCCTGTTGTAGTCCGGTACATAATGTTCATCTTGCATCAAGGTTGGGCAGGGAAGTCCTGTTGAAACATTCAGCCAAGTTACAACTAGACAATAACAGTCATTAAACATTTGCACTTAAAACTAGCGAAATAGCTTGATGTTTAATCACAATACAAAATGTCTAACTTCTTGGTAACCTAAACCGTAATGATGTTGTGGTTGTATAAAGTGCTGTATCTCCATATGCGTGGAGGCTAATATCAGTGTCATGCTCTGTGCAAATTAAATGCCTTTAGTTTAACTTTTGTTCTGGGGGGAAAAAAAAGTGCCTTTTGAGCACAAGGACATATTATTTTTCTTTTCTTTTTTTTAAAAAGAATTGCTTGCTTACATTCTGTGCTATGGAAATTCTGTTGTAAGTCCTGTTCTGTAGTAAGCATGAAACAGACTTGCTTTTGACATTACCCTTACCCCTGTCTCCCTGAGGTTATGACACCAATTAACTTTCTGACCAATTCCGTTTTTCCGCGTTCATTTTGCTGAGTAACAAATGGTTCGAGTGGAATTTTTGTTAAAAAAAAGGGGCACTCGTTAAATGGCAGCTTCGTTAGTGATTAAGGGTTAGTTTTAACTAATGTGTCCAAATACTATTTTCTTTTCACCTCTTTTCAAGTGTATTTCGATCAGATGTGAATTTTTGAAGTACTGTGAGCATTTTGATTATCAAAAGTTCCTTAAATGGAATAATGTTCATCTTCTCAGCACAGTTCCTAGTGATTGTGGGTTTACAGCACAAAACTGTCTCTAAATTGGCGATCGCACTCACCTAAAAGGCATGGCTGGTCCGGGAAATGAATTGGGGCTGAAGCACAATTAGTACAGAAGAAAGGGAGTTTTACTTTACTTCCTTTCCATTTGACCTCATGCTGTATCTGATCTGTGTGTCCCAAATGCTAACGTGTTCTTTACTGCTCCCCGCCTAACCTCAATAAGCACAACATTCACCAACAGTAGGAAGAACATTCAAGTTCTACTCAAGTTCATCCAATTTTCTATTCATTGCAGGATTGAGAATGGACGTTGGATGTATCCTATGTAAATCAGATTTCCCCCTTTCTTTAGTTGAAGTGTGTTTATAACCGTACCCCATCCATGGCTGATCTGCCTTTTTAATGTGCCAATTTCTTCAAGCAATTTATATGGGTGAGGTTTCCCTTCATCGTTTTGAACCTTGATTTTCTTTCATTCAAAAGCTCGCTTCCTTGACTCCTCTCGAACCTAATTAAATTCACGGTTTTCCAATGTTTCCCCTTAACTTTGCATCATTTACGTGCCTTGGTTGGTTCCTCTGAACCACACAAGTTTAGGGTCCTTTCTCGTGGGAACTTCTTATATATAGTATTTATTAAGGAAACAAGTCTGGGTATATTCTGCCTTCATTCTGACCACAGATTCTGACCCTTATCTCACCCGCAACTCATTCCTATGCTGTTTCTTATGCTGTCTTAACCGCCTGGGTTCCACTCCTTCTGTGGTTTTCTCTCTCCGTTCACACTCTGTGCTACAAATGTCCAGCACTATCCTGTACACCCTGTTAGACAATTCCAGATTATTTAGGGATTTCGGCACTGATTCCCACCTCTTCCCCTTTGCTCAATTTTCCTTTCCTCTCTCTAGGATAACCATCTCTTCCCCCCACAGTCAGGAACTCTATCCCGCAATCCCTCCGCCTCAACCCCTCTCTTGCCTCCGTCGAGTCCCATCTAAAGATCTTCCTCTTCTACCGTGCCTTCGGTCACTCCCTCCCACCCCCCCGCAACACCCTTGACCTCCCCCCCCCTCCTGACCCCAAACCCTGATTGTCCAGCGCCCTGGGACGTCTTTCCGATGTGAAGGGCGCTCTACAAGTGTAATTTTTTGTTGTTCCACCTTGAACTGAAGCTCTGTTCATGGGGCATAGAAATAACTTGGATCATTTCCCCACCCACACTGATACCAGCAAGAACACAGACAGCCAGTCGTTCCTGTACATAATAATTAGCCGTAATGACTGAAGCTTAGCACAATTTACACGAGTTTCTAAATTGATTCGAAAACCTTTTCTACGTGAGATTTTCTCTGAAGCTTGGCGTTGGTGTTTTTTTTTAAAAAAATATCAAGCCGTTTGTGTCTATTTCTGTGCTACAAGCTGTGCCAGGAAACATGAACAGGCATCGAGTGGGCAGTAATGCCGCAGCAGAACAGAGGGAAGATCTGAATAGAGTTTTAATTCCACATTTTAACTCCATATCCTCCCTCCTGTGTTGCTGGGAGATTGTTCCAACAGGGCACCAGCCATCCTCCTGTCCATCCTTCATGTGTCTTCACGGTGTCATGAAATTTTATGCTAAAGTGTCAATACTTATTACATCTAAGCCACGTAGGGGCAAATACGCAAAACGCACCTAAAACACTTAGCCGTCATCATTGACTCGTAAATGTTGAAACACAGAAGGATACCATTCAACACGTCCCGTCTGTGCTGATGCTATTGTTCTCAGTTTCCCTTGGATTCGTTTTGCCTGCAAAATACACAGTCACTACACTTCACAGTGTTTCCTGTGAAGCGCTTTGAGACGTCTCAAAGACGTGATAAGGCGCTGTATCAAATGCGAGGATTATTATTATTATTATCACGAAGAAGGGAAATACTCAACAGACTTGCCACTCCTGACCTTGTTTGGTCAGTTCCACATTTAAGCTTGTCTGATACTCGTTCACCCTCATTCCCTGGAGAAACACACCCAAACTGCCCTGATCCTGGAGAGTTGGGGCACAGTTTGGAAAGAGCTGGTTTGGAGATAACAGAGGGTGCATCCCCCAAGCCTTGACTCTTGCCAAACCTCACCTAAAGTTCTGATCATCTGCCTAAGGGCACGTGTGTGTGTGTGTGGTTGTCAATTTAGGACAGATGGACCTCATCTGTGATATCACCTGTGCTTTGTGGTTGATCATCACACTATAAAGGTGTTTCCGACTAACGCAGTTTGAGTTTCAATGTGAATCAGAGCCACTGCAGGAAGTCACAGAGGCCGACCTCCCCAAAACCTGTGGAACTGTAAACCAGTAGAAGGGAAACCTAATCCCAATTCCTCGCAAGAGAGAAAGGGAAGAGGGAGATGTATGTGGAAAAACACAGGAGGTGAGTCTCGTGTGTGCTAATATTAATACAGGGAGGGTTAGGGTTAAAACTATTTCTATAAGCTGGTAGTTCATTCTAATTGTATTGTTGCTGACTCTGGTTCATAACCATACTCAGAGTTTCACAGAGACAGCGTAGTATACAAATGCTTGCAAGGCAAATTTTACTCTTCGCAAATGTAGGCCCACGCCGTGATGCCGTTGTTGAGATGATTTATGAAGCGGCAGATCAATAAATAGATCAATACTTTCTGCCAATTTTTTTGTTCTTTTTAAAAAAAAATTACCGGACAGCACAGCACAAGCAGAGTGTGAGTAACGCACAGCTGTTCCCTTAATACCGTAGTCGACTTAGCATTTCGAACTGTCCCCTTTCTTTGCTAGACTGTTAGTTGCTGCAATGCTGTGTATTGGCAGAAGCCATATTAATCTTTAGCAAGTCTGTCTCAGGCATGTTATTGTGTATTTGAAAGCATTTTCCACAATATTGTATGTGGTAGGGTTGAAAGTCCCCTCTGGTATAATGACAGTGCACTTTCCATTGTGACCTAAAATATATATTTTGTAAAATAAGGAGCGTATAATTCAAGGGAGAGTACGGACAGTTTGTGGCAAATCTGACAATGTCCACCCTGATAGAAAAGCAATGGCACTGAGCTCTCGATTGGATGATGTTCGCAATGTCGAGAGACTGCAGTACATCCAACTGACTATTTTAGGATGTGATGCCACCAATGCAGAGCTTCTGACCGGATTACTCTCTCTACTGACTGGGCATCTGACTGGATCTCCTGTACGTACATATTTCATGTTGTCTGCACCAGTTCTGCTGGTCAGAGTTGAATTATCTCAGAGATCAAATAAAATGGCTTCCTTTTATCATGACAAGTTGTCAGTGGTGGCTTTTGTGTGTTTTTTTGTTTAGAAACTCATTTGACTTGGAATCTAGTCTGGGCTGATTGAGGTGAACGCAATTGGCAGTCTCTTTCCATCCACAAAATACACAGTCAATTCACTTTACGGTATATCCCGTGAAAGCGCTTTGAGACGTCTCGAAGACATTAGAAGGCGTTTTATCAGATGGAAGGCTTATTATTATTATTATCTCCTCTCTGGCTATAGAGTTAGAAACTGCTTCCAATGAGCATGAAACTAATGATAATTGAGATTGGTGGACTTGGTGGTAGAATTAATGGAGTGAAAATGGCAACCTGATGAATAAACATATATTTCTACCCAAACAAAGCTGCTCAAAGCCATCAAGTGTGACGTGCTCTTGGTTTTGGTCAGCCACAAGCAAAACCATCAACACCAACAAGAACAACTTGTGTTTATATAGCGCCCCTCAGCCAGCGTAGCGTCCCAGAGCGTTTGGGACCATGCTTAATAATATCTAAACCAGTTCTGCGCACGTCTCCTCTATGTGGGAATTCCTGGTAATGGAGTGTCCCCACTCTTTCCAGAGGGACGCAGTGTGCTTATCTAATAAGCCAGGTCTGGCTGGACTGGCATCAGCAATGCCCTGGAGTACCGTGGACTTGCTATAGCTAAGGAACAGTCTATTGAGACTCCCACAGAGGGGTCCAACATTCTGACGTCCTCTCATAACAACAACAATCAATTACATTTGCCTTTCACGTCAAGAGGGTCCCAAAGCGCTGGACAGTCAGGGATTTGGACCTGAGCTGGTGGTTGGGATCAGGGAAGGTGGAGGGTAGGGGTAGGAGGGTGGCTGAAAACACGATCGAAGAGGATGGTCTTGAGAGATGCCTTAAAGGAACGTCTCTATATTGAGACCGATTATAAGCAGTAATACTGGTAGCCTGGCAGAGGTCAGATTACAGTGCAGAGTGGGGGGGATCGAATCTCAGACGTTCCTAGTTAGAATTACTGCGGGCTGGGCGAGGGAGGGAAGAGGATTGGAAAGACAGACGCGAGATCTTTAAGGAGAAGTCTTGTTCGCGTGTCTCTGCAGTTGGTAATGTGAGGGCTGGCCGCCTTTGAAATCAACCCGAGTAAAACTGCAATTTGTTTCTGACGTGGCTTCTGCGCTGTATCGAACAGTACATGTGGGAGCTAACTG